GTTTTGCTGTACCTTTTTTTTTGCCTCTTGCCTCTTGATAACTGGAGATGTCCAAAAATATGACTCCATTCGCAATCTTGAATTTCTGCGTCTTATTGAGCGAGATGCTGGAACCCATTGGCACCTGTATTTCCTCATGGCCATCTTCCACCCTGCTCGACGTTTTGTAGCTGGTGTACACCGTACTTTCATGTTCTCACTCGTCCTGACTTTCGTGACTCTGTGCGTCCACCGGAATCTGCGGCATCCATCATAAAGAGGACATGAGCACTACAGAATACTTTGGCCGGCCTTGCACCTATTTCTAGGGAGAGCTTAGTGATCCAGCGAGACTCGCCAACAAGGGCATCTGTCAGCCCGTGTCAACACCGCTGGGCACCGCCGGGCCGTTTCGGGTGTCGGGCATTGCTTTGCGAGATGCTGCTCGTTATCAGCGAACCGTCTTCCCGTCACAATGGCTTGGATCGCTGCGGGACCCTCGTGTGGATCGCTCGCAGGTATCCGTATCCCTCCTGATAGACAGACGCCTTTGCGACGGCCCGCCCACTCCCCTCGACGCGCGGTGCAACTCGTTCTAGAACTGCACACTGTAATCTGTACCATGCACTGGCAATCCATCTGCAGCTCGGGTGTACTGCACGTAGCCTCGACAGAGCTCCGTCCCGTTATGCAATTCTGATTGGCAGAAACCCCATCACGTCGAAAACGCCAATCACATGCGAGCCTATGTGGAACAGTACGCCGTACCTGGACGAGGCTGGAGACACAAATGAATATCGGAGTGATCTATTTGAACATTTGCATCACAAACACGCACGTCAGCAGTTGGTAAACCAAGCGTGGGTAGGGAGCGCATACGCTTCGTTTTGGTTATCAACAAGCGGAGTCGTTTCTGTTTGGCATTGAAGTTGACTTGTTGACTGGTGAGTGTGATTCTTCTTCTGAAGCCCACAGCGAACGAGATCTTGCCCCAGCACACCAAGCGAACAAAATGAGACACCAAAATCAAGCATAAATGGAAGCGATCGACAAATACTGCGTACAATAACAGAAAATCCAAGAAATGAGCGGTTCGTTTTGTACAAGGAGAGTGTGACATGAAACATATCCAAGGCGTAGAGGGCATGACGTGAAGCACAATGAGGGAAGCAGTGGACAGGACACGCCGACAAAGATGATGTAAAGTGCTTGTGACACCCGGTGAGAGTGAAGTGCGTGCAAAGAAGAAACCAAGTACCCAAAAGATAGCCAAACCACAAATTGGGAGCCTCGGCTTGGCTCTTTATGGCGCTTGCGCTGCGCTGTCGGTCGGCCGCTTCCATGTGCGGATGTGGCCAGTCTTGCTGCTGATCATGATGGCGCTTTCGGTGAATCCGAGCCAGCAGAGGGGGTCCTTGTCAACCACCTGGGACTGCATTGTGTTAGTATGGATATTCTAGTTTGTTGCAAGAAGAAAGAAGACGAACAGCCAAAAAAAGTCGACCTACACAAACAGGCGGCAGAATGGCTGTCCGTGCCCGCGGCTCAACCGGGTGCACGCGCTCGTCACCGCCGTTGGACTCATCCACCATCACGTAGCCGTCCGCGTCCTCCTCGCTGCCATCACCACCGCCACCAGCCGCTGTCGACGGCTTGCTGCTGCCTCTGCCGACCGCCTTCCCGGTTGATGTCGCCGTGTGGATGTTGGAGTTGCTCGTGGACGTCGTCGCCTTGGGCCGGGTCAGCATGCCGACGCTGAAATCCCAGAGACACAGCCGGCTGTCCTCGCCGACACTGCCGATGCGGTAGACGCGGTCGTCGCAGCGCCACGGGTCAAACGCCACGGACGTGACCCACGAGTGGTGGCCCTGGCAGCGGGCGACGAGCGTCTGGTCGGCCACGCGCCAGATGGACAGCAGGTCGTCCTGCCCGCCCGTCACCACGTACTTGCCGTCGGGCGACCAGCACACGCAGGTAAGGCCGCCGTAGTACGAGTAAAAGAGACCCAACAGCTCCTCGCGCAAGATGTCAATGATGCGCAGCGAGCCGTCCTCGGACACAACGGCGACGTGGTTGGCCTGCGGCGAAAAGGCAAAGGCATTGATGCGCTGGTTCGACAGCTTCCAAAACGCAAACGGGTTGCTCTTCTGGCCCTTGGTGTGGATCGAGCGCTCGACCTGAATGTGCGCGCGGGCCGCCGTGCTGTTGGACAGGCGCTGGCGATTGGCTTCGTCCTCGTCAAACACAAAGGCGGCGTCCTCCTTCTCCTTGTCAAACACGACGAGCGACCCGTCCATAAAGGCGGCCATGAACAGGTTCTCGGACCCGGGCACCCAGCGCACGTCGGACACGGGCGTGCCGCGGATGATGCCGTTTTTGTTGAGGCGCATGTAGCGCTGCGAGAAAGGCTCCCACCAGATGAGCTCGCCGGTCGAGAAGCCCATGATCACGTCGAGGTGCGACGCGCTCTTGGTCACCGGGTTGATGTCGTGGCACAGGCAGTGCGCTTTGGTGAACAGGATCTTGGTGAAGTAGTCCTTCTTCGTCTCGGAGGACATGTCGACCCACTGGAAGGCACGGTTGATGTTGGCAAACACAAAGATGCCGGTGGCCGGGCGGTCCTGCAGGCGCTTGGCCAGGTTGTCGTTGACAATCACGCGGGAGATGAACGACGAGTTGCTCTTGGTAACGTTGTTCTTGGGTTTGCGCTGCTTGCCGCCGCTGGCCTTGTTGCCGCCCAGGCTGGCCAGGGTCGCGAGGGCGCTGGTGGTCGACGTTGCGCTATGGTTGAAGCTGTTGGCAGTCAACGGGTTGCTGCTACCGGCTGCCGCATCGGCCGCCGTGCCTGGCGCCGCACCGGATGCAGCAGCACCCGCCAGCGCGGTGTCGCTGCCAGCCGACATGGCGCTGTTGGTGTTGAAGCTCAGCCGGCCCGTCGCAGAGTCGCCTGTAGCGTTGCCTGTGGGTGCACTGCTGCTGGATTCGCCGTCCGGGTGTTCTTCCACTGTCGCAAAGGGGCCCGAGGACGACCCCGGATTGTCTGCGGGAGGAGCAGTGCTGTTGGCGCCGGACAGGAGCAGGGCCAGAGCCGGTGGCGGCGGTGGATCGACAAGGGCGACCATCGAGATCTTGGTGCCGGCAGTAGCAGGCAGAGGAGTCGTCGCAAGCGGGTTGGGGTTGATGACGGGAGTTTCCGAAGGGTGCGGCGGGGGCGTCGCGAGCAGAAGGTCTTCTTCGAGGACGTAGAGACCTAGCGATGGACGTCAATCAGACCGAATGCAAGGCGGCAATCCATTAGCAGAGCAGAGCGCAGAAACATACCTTCGCCGACGAGGAACTGGCAGTCGGGACCAGTTGGGTGTGACAGGATGTTGTTGGTCTCGATCATGGGAACCATCTGGCCACTGAGATAGGCGCCATTGTACAGCATCTGACTGGGATACCGAGGCGGGGGCGGCAGCACACTGGAGGGCATGTTAGATGCAAAGGACACTGGTTCAACCGACACGACAGCATAACGTACAACATGGTTGCGGCTGTGATACTGGCAGTCCCAGTAGACTGCTGTCGGTGTCTTTATTAATGTTTGATGGTTTTCGTGTCACGAATAGTCGTCGCGAAAGAGGTCGCCGAGTTCAGAAGGTCGGTGCTCCGTACTTGGGCGGCTGTTGCACAAGGCTGACAGGTATGAGCGAAATGGACCACGGGATGCCTCTTCACAGAGCTGGTCGGAGACGAGGCTGTCGTCAGAATCGTCCAACCGTCGTCAGTCTGCTGCCGATCGTTGCGATAATGCTTTCAATGATCGTCGGCGATGGCGGACGCCGTGACTTGGTATGGCTGGTTCGAGGGGGGACACTGCAGTAAGGCTGTCCCTGCAGTTGGTCGCACGAGCCAGACAGTCTGTCCGCTGTTTTGTTTGCGGTGCTCTCCAGCTGTCGTTCAAGTTGTCGGTTTATTCGTCGTCGAATTGGGTCGGTTGCAATTCGTCCGTTAATAATGTACGGAATATGGACGATACCACACCGAAATGTCTCCGCACCAGGGTCAGACCAAGGAGTGCATGCACACGCTATCGCCAGCGTCGCTGGTAAAGCCGAGATAGGCGCTGATGAGGCACAGAATGGGCGAGTGTCGATGTTGTCGGTTGGTGGATGGAAATTTGTTGTTGAGGGCAAAATAAGATCACGACGAGAGGGCAAAGAAAAAGAGACGAGGAAAGAAAGAAGCAGCGCGCGTCCGTTGCTACTTCCTCCGACTGGTCTTTTGGCGGTTGATTCGGAATTGTCCCAGGGTTGTGCCTGCCTCGCTGCGGATAGGTGATTGTTGGGAAGGTGCCAGAATGCCCGTCTGGCGCTGTCGAACAGGGCAAGGCGTGAGGAGCTGGGTCGTTCCTTACCCCACAAATAGTGCATGCGCCGACCACTCAGAGGCGGCCGTTCAGCATCGGTTGCGTCCTTTTGGTGGGTGGCTGGCTGTCTGGGCCGTGCCTTCCCCCTCTTTCCCACGTCTGTGGTCTGGCCTTGTGGGTGTTCTTGCCTTGTCAGACCCCGCAAACGTGCGAGCTAGCAGCTACTGGTGCGAACTGTTTCTGGCAAGGCAGGCGACACAGGCCGGTTTTCTGCCGGGAAGGAACCACCTGCAGATGCTGCTGGGTGCATCTGCGCCTTCTACGAGACTTTACATGATTCGCACACAGAGTGACCTTCGGACGTAGAGACAAGATGGCGTATGGAGTACAGAGAACAGACCAGGTCATGATTCACAGGACATTGTGGTTACGCAGCGACGGGCACAGAAGGATGCAAAAATATTAAATAACATACTGTAATACAACGAGCATACTGTGCTATGCAGGGACATATTGTTACAGGAAGTGGAAACTCGTGTCAAAAGGGTCGAAAGACAAAAGAACTGGGTATCATGAGAAGCGTCCAAATAGGAGTGGCGATGGGAGATGAGGGTGAGGAGCAGGGGACATTGAGTAGATCGAAAAAAGTGGCATCTGGAAAGACATGGCCTCATGCCTGGCTGGTCGACCTTCGCCATCTGTGTTGGCATTAGCAACGGAACGGAACTGGGAAAAAAACAAAAATAAAGCACGGTAACGTTAACATACATGATAAAGGCGGCAGCGGCGGCACATGCCACGGCGCCGAGGGCCACGTAAAGGCTGGTGCGGTCGGCGGCGGGCTCTTCGCTCTTGGGAAAGGCAAGGCTGGGGGTGGTGGCGGCCTCGGCCAGCGACACAAACAGATTGCTGATGCTCTCCCAGGTGGCGCTGACGTGCAGCGGGGCACTCATCCGCAGCGCCGCCGTGTAGGCATCGGGCTGCTGCTCGCTGCGCTGGGTGGTCTTGTCGCGGTCGGCCTTGAGCGCGGCGTAGACGGCCGGCAGCTCGTCGAGCAAATGGCCGTTGCGGTTGCGCAGATCGACGAGGTGGCTGAACGAGTCCGGGTCGGACGAGTCGTAGGCAAAGCAGAGCAGGTCGCACTGGTCGAGGCGGGCCTGGTTCTCGAGCACGGCGGGCTCGAGCTCGCCGAGTTCCTCGAGGATCAGGTAGCACTGCTTGCCGCCCTCGAGCTCGACGCTGTTGACGGCACGGCGCGGCCGTATGGTGGGGCGGTGCAGCGGGTCAAAGGGGCGGCCCAAGAATGCATCGAGCAGCGACGACTTGCCAGCACCGGGTGCACCCACAATGTAGCACAGCACGACGTTGCGGTCCACACGGCCCGGACGCCGGCGGCGCTTGCGCGGTTTGGTGATCTTGAACGCAGCTGTGGGGCCGGCAGCGAGGCCCTTGGCGCCGGGTGCCTCGAATCCCAGGTAGGCCAGATACTCCATCGTGGTCTTGGGCTCCAGGAACGTCGTCATGCTCCACTGGGCCAGCCAGCCTTGCAGAGTAATGTGGCCGGCCTCGTTGCGCACGGTGGATGCGGGGAAGTCGGCCTCGACCCAGGACGCGGGCAGGCCGGGGGTGGGCGCGAACAGCGCCGCGAGCTCCTCGTCGTTGAGCCCGCCGTCGTTGTCCTTGTCAAAGAGCAAAAAGAGGTCCATGAAGAAGCGGTAGCCGGCAGGGCTGAGCTCGGCAGAGGCGGAGTCGGGAATGTCAATGCGCGGGTGCAAAAAGCTGTCTGCAAGACTCAGGCTGTCGGTGTAGTGGAACTGGCGCAGGATGACCCAGATGGTCTCGTGGCGGCCCTTTTCGGCGTAGATGCGGTTCAGCTGCAGGAATCCCGCCAGGTCAATGCCGCGGTCGACGAGTTCGGAGGCCGCCGCTGACGCCGACGCCGACGCCGACGCAGCAGCCGCGCTGCGCCCGAGCGTGCTGCTGCTACCGTTGCTGGACACGGGCCGCGAGCCTGTAGCAGCCGTAGACGAGGTCCCGCGTGCAGGCCCGCCGCCTCGCCGAGACCCGGTCGTCGTATCCGCGCGACCGCTGCCGTTGTCGGTGCCTCCGCCGCGTGCGGCCTTGGCAAGCGTCAGCTTGATGCTGGCCAAGTCCTCGGGCGACAGAGCCTTGTTGAAGGCCGTCTCCTGGAAGGCGTGCATCTCGCGGTCGTTGAGGTAGCCATCCTGGTCCTTGTCGCAGAGGTAAAAGATGCGGCGGAGGGCGGCCACACACGCGGGCTTGAGGTTGCCCTCCTTGTAGTCGAAGAGCGGCGCGATGGGGTGGGTGACGGCCTTTTGGCACAGGAAAAACACCTCGTTGACGTTGCGGTGGTCGCGGGCGCTCGCGCGGATGCATGAGTCGATCTCGCGGAACTCCTGCATGACAGGAACCATCTCCTCCTCGAGCACCTGCGCCAGCTGGTCGTCGCTCCCGGGGCTGTTGCCGCCCGAGGCTGGCACACCGCCCGACGGCGCTGCTGGGCCCGTGGCTGGGGCCGCCGTACCCGTGGCTGCAGCGGTCAGGTCGGACTTGTTGGCGCACAGAACCACGGGGACATTGACGCCGAGGGAGCGAAAGTAGGGCATCCAAAACAGGGCAACGCGCTCGTAGCTGTAGTGGTCGGCGTAGACGAGCAAGATGACGTTGCACTTGCGGATCTCCTTACGCAGCGTGGTGCGGTCCTGCGGGCGCGCAGACGTGTCGACAATGGTTGTTGTGACATTCTCCGGCGTGCCGATGTTGGGCGGGATAGTGATCTGGGGCAGCACAGCCTGGATCTTGTTCGTGATGAAGACATCCTTGACGAGCGATGCGATCAGGCTGGACTTGCCGGTGCCCTCGTCGCCGCAGACGCAGATGCGGACTTCTTGCGCCATGGTATGGAGTAGGAGGGAGAGGCGCTGGCGGGCACGCAGGGGCGCGGCGGAGGGAGAAGGGCGGTCGCGTGGTCGAGGTGGACGAAAAGGAGATGACAAAAGACAAGACGAAAGGAGGCAAAATGGGACGCTGTTTACCAGCTGGACCTAGATGTGGGCAGGTGCGGGCGGGTGGCAGGGGTGGAGCTGCCTGCTAATTACGACGTACCGACAGTTTAGTGGCCTTATCAGAGGACGGTGGGGTCTTATCGGGAAAGCACCTTCCTAGCTAGACTTGATGCTCCTATTGGTACCTGCCAGATACGTCACAGAGTACCACAAACGGCATCAAAATAGGAACGCAGCAAAATAAGAACGCAACAGCAATGACGACCATGACAATGTCAGAAGCCTACGACATTTCACCGTCTCAATTTGTCGTTTTATTTGAGATCATCGCTTACAATGTAGACGCTCAATCTCTCGCCAGTCGGTCCTGGTCAGTGGTGGCAAGAATGGCCCTTGTCGCTTTCGTCTCTTCTTTCGCCGAGTTAACTCGATTAATTAGGTGTCTAACCACATATGAAGGGTATTGATGGTCTGTTACTTGCGGTGGTTTTTCTGGTACAGCATATCTTGGAATGGTTGCTAACTCCTACTTTGGCACTCTTTCAGACTGATCATGATCAAGGATCACGCGTAGGCGGTTAACAATCCGCATGAATTACAGTACGGCCGCGTACGGGTGGTAGCGGTAGCGACTGTTACGGCGATCTCGAACAGAAAGCCATCGCTGACGTCTACTGTCTTTGACTGCTCGCCCATATCGAGGCTTCTGGACGTAGGCGGAGCGCACGAAGTGCTTTACGCGATCGCTCTTTCCTTGTCCGGGTCCTACCGCATGCCGGGCCCACCGCCGCGTTCGCTGCCGCATCGTCTCTGGCGATATGCTGGCTGCTCCTTCCTCTTGCACTTCTTGACAAAATGGTTTTTCAAAAGGCAAGTGCGGCTTATTGCCCTTGTAAACCTGTATTGGCTTGTTCCTATTGATGTTGACGCACTCGACTGCCGGCGTGCACGTGGAATTCGTTACTGTATTGTGGTTGTACATTGTGATTTTGTACATTGTGGACTAGTTGGATTCGACGGCCGTTGCCTGTGTCTATTTGTACATAAAATACCTGTTAAATCATGTCTCATTATGGATACTACCACATTGCTCCAAACTTTCGTGTAGTTCGTGCATCGCATCCCCCCTTTTCTATTTTGACTAGTGTGTCCGCTGGAAACGCTCCCGCTTGACACTCCGGGCCTCGCTTTCTGCCTTTGTCATGCGGCGCAGCTGGCTGGCGTCGACAATGTCGTCGACGTCCTGGGCGTGTTCCGGGCCGTTATCCGCGTCGCCATGGCCGTCGCCCTCGGCGTCCGACGTGGCCGCCTCGGCGGCATCCCGGCGGCGACGCTCACGCCTCGCGGCTTGCTGGATGCGGCGGCGCATCGTGGTGTCGGGGACGAGGTCGAGCGCGGTAAACTCCTTGGTGCAGCCAGTCTGGGGGCACTTCTTGGGGACATGGGCGGCGCTGCGGCTGCTGCCGGTGGGGCGGAGGTACTCCATAATGGCGCTGTGCTCAAAGGAGTGCTTGCAGACGTTGCTGCGGTAGGGGTCCTGCATAACCACGAGCGACAACGGGCACTTGAAGCTGATAACCTCGCGCTGGACGACCAAATCGTCGTCGTCGTTGTCGCCGCCCACCTCGTCGCCACTGTCGCCTGCGCCGCTGCCGGCACGGGGCCCGTACGGGGCCGGCTCACCCGCCGCGTCAAACCATTGGGACGCATCGGGCAGCTGTACATCCTCGTCGGGGTACATGCTGACGTGCAGCATCTGCTTGAAGGCAATGTAGTCGTTGTTGAGGCCGTATTTTTGGTGGGCCGTCATCTCGGCGTAGGCGGCGGCACGGATGGCACGCTCCTCGCGCAAGATGCTCAGAGCGCTCGCCGCGGGCGGGCCCTGGTACGTGTTGGTAATGTCTCCGTCGCCGTCGTCGTTGTCGTTGTCATCATCGTCTTCGCCACTGTCGCCCTCGTCTCCACCGTTGTCGTCGTTGCTGTTTTCTTGCTTCGTTCCGTCATCGGTTCGCCGCCGCTTCCGTCGCCGCCGCCGTGATCGGCTGCCACCTTCGGCTGCTCTCGCTTCGCGTTCTTGCTCTTGTTGCTGCTTCCGCTGCTTGTCCTCACGGTACCGTGCCTCGATCCGCGACGCCATGGCCGTCAGCGCCTGCCGCTCGTCCTCGAGCTCCATCTGCCGGTCAATGGTCGTGCGCGCGCCCCGCTCCACCTGCGCAGTCAGGTCGCCCACGCTCTCCTTGAGGCGCGCCACCGACTCGATGAGCGCCGCTTCGCCCTCGCCCGGCTTGTCCCCGCCTCGTTCGCGCCGCCGCTCGGCCGTCGCCTCGAGCTGGGCAATGCGCTCGGCCAGGGCCTCGTTGACGTTGCCGACGGCTTCGCGCAGCAGCTCGGCAGACTTCTTCAGGTGGGTTTCGTAGACGCGCAGACTGGCTGAGCGATTGCCAATCTCGGCAATCTTGCGCACCGAGGCCTCGGACAGTGGCAGCTCCAGTGTTTGGTGAGGCGGCAGGTCATCGGGGGCGAGCCGCGTCAGTTGTTGCGTCGACGACGAAGAGGGTGTAGAAGGACCGCTACTGCGGCGCCCAGGCTGCTGCACGAGCAGACCGCGCCGGTTCATATTGGTTGTATGGAGCGCTGTGTGCCGATGACTCCGTGCGCCCGTGGCGATTCTTGAAGAAAACGCGTCGACCGCGTTCTCATTAACGCCAAACCAAAAGCGGAGCGGAGCTGCATCTTGTGCATAATATGCCTATATCCGTTTATGTAATATTTAGATAGACGAATTTGGCCAGATTGCAAATTGCCGAAATAGGCAATCATGATCTGTGTCCATCTCGAACATTGGAAGATCTTCCATCGTGAAACTCTTTGATGCTGAATATCATAGGCTTCGTATCAGTCATCGACACGGCGTATTCTGTACATCGTACTGCGCCGCCGATCGCGAGTGGACAGCTACAAAAGAAACATCGTCTCCGTACAAGACAATCTCGATCGCACGGCCGACGCCTTGTTAGCGCGATCACGATTCGACGTGAGCATCACGTGACGTCTTACACGAACCAATCGTGTCGGCCACCGATGCAGTTCCGACACCCGAACCGGCAAACAGGAACGGGGATCGTTAGTTGGTCGTTGGTTTTCAGGTGTGTGGTGTTTGTAGTAGTAGAATGCCCGTATGGGGTTAGGGGGTCTCGAGTTGCCGTGCCCTGGCGATGGTCTTTCAGATTCCACTTTACTTTATGGAATTCTTGCAATATATTTCTTTCTTCACAAATTTTTGTTGTACTGTACTCAAAAAATGGTTTTGTAGACGAGGACATGGTTTACTAAGAAACGCCCACGCCACTTGTGCAGCAAATGGAACGACTGAGGAAAAAACTAGTGCGAATAAATACAGAATAAGAGGTTTGTGAAATACCACTCCACGAAAATGCAACCCATGTGTGGCCACGTTCGATGGGGCGTGTTTATTTTCTTAGCCGTTGGAAGACGTAAAGCCGGCAAACGATGTGAACCAGAGCTTGCCGATCCTTGGCGCAGGTTCGTCATCGACGATCGCTTCTCTGCCCGACCAGCTCACGCCGTGCTTCGAATAGTATGATTATTAAATATAATCGAAAGATATAATCGAAAGGTATAATCGAAAGGTATAATCGAAAGGTATAATCAAACTATAATCGAAAGGATGCACCAGGATCTAGCTACTTTTTGAAACACAAACTACGCTGGCAGAGCACGCAAAATAAACAAACCAAAATAATGCAATGAATGTTCGACTCTCGCCAACTTAGACCAACTACCAGTCTCCTAAAGTCGTAGGTTGATTTGTGGTCAAACAAAAAGGAGTACCCAGCGGGATCTACAATGTACCGTTGGCTACAGACCTGTCAATCCGGCATGTCCACTTTTTTCTCAAAACAAGCAGCTGTGACATCGAGATCCGACCCGCATAGCGTTCACGGAGAGGGCCGCGGAGTAAAGGAGCCGGGAGAAAGCAAATATAAAGAAGAAAAGAAGAAAAGAAGAAAAGAAGAAAAGAAGAATAGTATCCGAAAGCTGCAAGGGTTTTCGACGTTTTCTCGTCTTTTTGCGGTTTCCCCCCTCCCTTCTTATGTTTTGTGTCAAAAATACTAGAGTACTAATGGCATCAAACCAACCTGACGGTGGTCTCATCATCACTTACATCATTCTTTATCCGAGCTAGTCTGACCAGGACCCCAAATCTCTTCAATATTTACAAAACTGGATACGACAACGACAATAGCTCCCCCTTCCCCAAGCACAACTATAACACCGGCCACAAAACTGTGACAACCACAACGCCACTAGCAGCATGGTGATGGCGCTGGCGCCTGCGACGCTTGAGCGTGAGACGAGCGCTCAGGATGCCGTCGACCAAGAGCCCGCCTTGGCCTACGACTCCAACCTCTTCTTCTTCCCAGGGATGTACTGTCCCAGCGGCTTTGATCTCATGAAGATTTTGGTGAGCCATACATACACCCATACATAATCCGGCCTTGGCAAGAAGGGACCGGAGCGGCAATGGCATCCGACCCGGGCTGCTGACTCGCTACTAGTACTGCGTCGTGGCGCGCCCGCATCCCGCCATCGACCTCGGCCCCGTCGACGCCTCCTGCCCCATTGTCCTCTGCGACCTCTACCTGCCGGACACACCCATCGTCTATGCCTCCCACTCGTTTCTCGCCCTCACCGGCTACAGTCTGGACGAGGTGCTCGGCCGCAACTGTCGCTTCCTGCAGTGGCCGGGCACGGTGCAGGAGCCGACCGTCCCGCCCTCGGCGCCGTCGACGCCCAGTCCATATGTGCAGCCGGCCGTGCGCCAGCTGCTGCACCAGTCGGTCAAGCACAACCGCGAGGTGCAGCTCGAAGTCACCAATTTCCGCAAGGACGGCTCGGCGTTTGTGAATTTCCTGTCGGTGGTGCCCATATACTGGGACGACGGCGGCGACGGTGACCGAAATCGACATCCAAGGAGGCACCGCTACTCTGTCGGCTTCCTCTGTGACAAAACTGCCATGGAATAGGTGGGTGTGGACTATGTGAATGTGCTTTTCATTTCTTTCCATTTTTCTTGTTATCCTTGTTGTATTTCCTTTCACAGCGAAAGATTTTGATCATTTTTCGATGGTCTGTTGTTGCATATTTCTACCCGTCCGTGTGTTATTTTTGTTTATTTTCACGGATTGAACGTTTACATGGCCATGCCAAAAAAAAAAAAAAAAAAAAAAAAAAACTGCGCAGATAGACGATACCCATGTAACCAATCGAGATTATGAATTATTATACAAAACGAAATTAATACTCACATACGAGTACGAGGCCCGCCCGGTTGAAATGGTACATTCCCGTCGGCTCATGACCACTTAAGCAGCCGCATGCTCTGTCCGGTTCAATGCGCGCCGTGAATCGGATGTCGGTTTTATCGTGTAGCCAACTGCAAAATACACAACGATACTCGACGATACTGCAACAAGTCTGGGTCTAAGTTTTATTTTTGTCTCTACAAGGGGAGAAGATTGGCAGAACTAGAATACAAACGATGCCCATCTTTGCTTTATTTTATTTTATTTTTGTCACTTAGTGTTGTCGACTCCGTTCGTGTAATTGCGTCGCACGTGCCTGGGAAAGACATGCGCAACTTACACTGCCAGACCGACTTCACATCCATGGAATATAGAACGAGCAAGGCGATGAAAGAAGCTGGCACGAAGCCCCCCCTTTTGCCGTCTCCTTGCCCGTCCCGTTTCCGTCCATACCCAAGAATGTCGCTTAACCGCTGGCGGCAAAGGTCGAGTTGATGGGGCCGAACTTGATGTTGGCTGCAAAGTGTTAGTATTGTAAACGGGAGACAAAATCAAAATCAAAATCAAAATCAAAAACAAAACAAAAAAATCCACAACGCCTTGGGAAGACATACAGTAGACGACGTGGTCGCTGCCCTGCTTGGACTCCACATCCTTGGGAACACCGGACGAGGTGTCGCACGAACCACGGGCTCTGCCGGGGGCGGTGGCATCGCCGTCGGTGGGGTAGGTCGAGTCCAGCCACAGCATGTTGGAGTTGTGCTGCGTGTCTGTTAGTACTGTTCTCTTTCAACTTGTTACATTATGTGTTCCCTCCCGCTCGACATGTAGCACTTACGTCGTCCCACAGAGACATGACAAGAACCATGGGGGCGCCGACGGCCTTGGTGAACTGGACAAGACCGCCCTTCTCGCTGAAGTGGTCGTCGTCGCCAAAGGCCGTCTTCTGGGCCTTGCAGAAGGCCGTGTCGATCTGGTTGCCCGTGGTGCCAGCAATGGCCGACTGCGAGTTGGGGATGACCTTGCCGTTCTGCACGTAGAAGCGGCGGATCGACTCGAGGTTGCCGTCCGAGCCCTTGATGAACTGCGTCACGACCGTGAACTTGCTCTTGGTGTCGACCGTCATGCCGGGGCCGTAGAAGTCCTTGACGCCCATGCGGTACGAGTTGAAATCGCAACCGTCGGGGTCGCACGTGCCGGCGTAGCGCGTGGCCGAGTAGGTGCCTCCACAGCCGTCACCCTCGCAGCGCGTCTGGCCGACGTCCGTGCAGGGGTGCGGCGTGTACGCAGTGGCGATCGAGTTGGCCTCCCAGATGTCCATCTCCGAGCAGCACGAGCCATAGCCGCCGACACCGGCGTTCGCGTCGTTCGACGACGCCTTCCAGCTGGCCGAGTTCGCCTCGCCGTTGATGAACTTGAGATCACGAGGGCATTGGGCGTCGCAGTAGCCCGTGCCGTACTTGGCGCCGGCCTTGTTGGTAGAGTACTTGCTCATGCCACCATCCTCGTCCATGGAGACAAAGTACAGAGCGCCGTTGAGACCACAGCCCAGATTCGAGACGTCGACGTCGAACGTGAACTCGTTGCCCAGGAGCGTGAACATCTGGTACTTGGTCTCGCTGGCCATGAGGTAGAAGCGCGAGCCAATGTTGGTCGCGTACTGGCCCTTGGTGACGAACCCGATGGTCAGGGCATTGCCGCTGGTCGAGGCACCGTATGTGGCCTTGTAGTCGGCGCCTAGGAGCAATCGTTAGTCATTTGTTCGTTGAACACATATGACACATTGAACACATAAATTCTGCCTCTCCCCTCAAAACGCACCATCAAGAGCACAGTTGGAAGCGCAGCTCTTGGCGTCCTTGCAGACGGTCGTGTTCCATTCGTTGCCGGTGTAGCAGTTGCTGTAGCCGCCCTTGTCGTGCAGCCAGCGCCAGTTGGAGTCGATGGTGACTTCGCCCTGGACAGTGGAGCACGAGCCGGCGCCGGAGCACTTCTGCCACGACATCTTGGGATGCGTCTCGGTGGTCTCTTTGCCGACCTGCTGGCCCGCGACGAGGGCCAGGAAGGTCGAGAAAGCGGCAATGTTGGCGTACATTGTGGCGGTTGGTTGCAAACAAGGCAAAACAAAAAAAACCTATATAAAAAGAGTGTAGTTGCACGAGAGATGTGGACTTGGGCTTGGAAGCGGCGAATGCTCTACTGCGAAATGCGGGGCCCCGGATCTTGGAGATGGAGACAAGAGAAACAAAAGAGAAGGACGGGGAGAGGCAAGCTTCGACGAGGCGAGACGAGGGCCACTCTTTATAGGGAAAATGACAGGACGAGACGGACGGGACAAGTCGAAACCACAGACCAAGGGCGTGAGTGCAAATGGCCGTGAGCGTGGGCGTGGGAGTTCGAACAAGGTTTGCTCTCGGCAGAACTTGGAGCCATTGCGGTCGTTCTAGAAGGTATACGCGTTGAAGCTCGAAGAGGGCGTCCATGGGTGCATCTAACGGTGCCGCCAAATATGTGAGAGGCGTGCATTGGCAGCCCGCTTTTGCCAAGATGCTGTATCATTGTGTTCTGAAAGACCAATGTAGCCCTCTCTTAAAACGGTAATGAGGGCCCGAAAGGCCGTGGGAGAGACATGCTGCGGTAAATGAAGTTAGATGGGCGGGTCTCAACAGCCTACACGGTGCATAGCCGGTCCCGGGGATGAATGTTGCGATTTGTCGGCGCGTATGGGCCCAGGTTTGGTCCTGGCTGAGAAAATAAGTCTAAAACAGAACGAGATAAATTGGAAGTCGGCAGAGTTGTGGAGCGCGTTGGAAAGCAAATCTAAACAGCTCTAAACTGCTGCCAGGAGAGCCGTACATAGCGTCCATTGAAGTGTATTGTCTCCAGGGTCTGGACTCATTTGATGAGATTGGGGTCGTCCTTATGGACCTTGTGCTCCTGGAAAAAGGCGAAGAGGGCGATGCGAGGAGACGTGCCATGCCACCGCCTTGAACGAATTCGGATCCTCCTTCCGCTGGAACTATCACGGGACAGATAGGTGCCTCATAGATTCAAAGTGCCATGCACTCGCAGAGCACGCCCCGCTCCAACTTGCTCTCGTACCTGTCCTGGCAACGTCTGGGCGGTCCTGAATCTGGGGTCGAGCCAGGCCTTGCTCCTATTTCGCTGGGGCCACCGTACTGGTGGAAAGCAATCCGGATCGAGGGCTCCGGAAAGCAACATACTCGCTTGAGTCAAGATGGACGGCGGCACGACTTGCCCCATACCCGCCATTGTTGGGGCCAAGAAAAGGGACTATGAGCCAAGAACTGTGGAGGCGGAGAGAGCCAGAAAGCTCCCAGTCCTCCACGTTCCTATGTTGAGTCCATCTTTGGTCGGTTTGGTCAGTTTGGCCGGTCTGCCCGTTCCTGGACCTCGTCTGACCTTTCTCTGGCACGGCTAGTATAAACGGAAAATAGACAGATGGGAAGGGCGGGATGAGATGGGGTCAGCGATGCGTGGCAGATGGTGCAACAAGGAAGCAAAGGGGTGGACGAGGAAGAATGGGCGCGATTGTACGCGTTGCCTTTGGTACAAAAAAGGGGCGGTGGAAGAATAATATCGCGGCTGATTGCAAGGAAGTTGGGGGTGGGATGCTCTTTCCCCCATGGCATTGCATCTCGAAATATCGAAAGAAGAAGGGCCGAGGGGACACGGGCAGGCCGCGGAGGGGTCGATGGGAAAGGAAGGATCCACCACATTGTCCACTACATTGTGTTGCTCTTTCCTGTTTTTCTGTCCGTTTGGAGAGAAACACACACTTTCCTTATTTGGACCGTGTTTGATCCGAAGTCTCTCCAATGACTCGGGAGCCGCAAATCGACTCCACTGGGAGCGTCGACGACACGGAAAGAACGACTGTGTTCCTGACGCATGGTGTTGTTTCCCCAGTTTTGTTGTTCATGTGATGACGTCCAACTCAGGGGCTGTATCAACAATGCCATTCGAATGTCAAACAACCCAAACAGCGCCAAAGGCGACGTCAACTTGTCAACTTGTGTCTCTCCCTGCAAGCCTAACGAGGTGATTGATACTGTCATGAAAGTGGATCTTCGCCTCTGTCTGCACGATCTTTTGCCGTCGTCGCCAAGCTTCTTCCCGACTCTTGTCCTTATCTTCTTCCTCTTCCAGTCGACCATCTACCCCGTCTTGCCCCATAGCACTCGCCAGAGAGCATAGTCATGAAAAGTGCGGGCGCGACGGTTGCAAAATGCAAGAGTGGATCCCTGCTGTGATTCTCCAGGCCGTGTTTGGCGAGCAACGACGGGAGTCGAGGGCATTGGACTGCGAGGAACGTCAGAAACGATGCTTCGAAATCGACAAAACTGGGGCATACCAAGACAATATGCCTAGACAACGAATGGAGGCATAAAAACGAAGCGAAAAATCCCCCCCCAAAAAAAGTAAAGACAAAGAAAAAGAGCGGAGCCTTCTATCCACGCCCGTGTGTTTATTTCGACCTGCTTTGGCGAGAAACGGGGTGATTCCTCCTGTCGAGTCTTGTCTTTTTTCTGGGCGCACCTATTTCGTCGACAAGACCCACTCCATAAGGCATCGCGGTAAGCAAAGCCGTGTGCATGCTTGCCAGGAGGCCACCGGTTAAACGGGACTCGCTTCCAAGACGGATAACGAAGGGAAGCCAAGAAAGCAAAAGCCCAAAAAAGAAGACGACGAGTGACAAGCGAACGAAGCGGCCGTGATGCGATGTGCGATGTGGAAACAAGACGCAGTGTTGCCACGGCTACCGAGCGACGTCGACGTTGTTTGGAAAAAGAAAAGGAGGGAACGACAGGAAGAGCCTCATTCATTTCTACAATTAGGTTGGGCCTTCCGAGCTGGGGACGAGCTGGAGAAATACCCCGCGACCAACAAGACATAAAACGAAGACTGACTCGAAGCCGAATGGTGGACGGAGGGGACGGTGAGGAGACAGGAGAGGAGAGGCCAGGATGTCTAAACGACCTATCTAGGTCAAATTAAGTTTTTGATCGATGTCCGGCCTCTTCTCGAATCGCACAGGACACCACGACACCCTTTTGTTGTGCGTTGTGTCATTACGCGCAAATACCCCTGATCTGAGTGATAAAATAAGAAACACGGAGATGCACAGCACGAACGGGTTTGTCCTCTCGATGTAGACGTTGTTGTCCAAAGCATACAAGATGTCGCGAAATCGATGACCAGAGGAACTTGAAAAGCAGCCAACCAGGATGTTCTCGCTTCCCCGCTCGCTCACCTCTCTTCAAGCTTCAATTTCTCCCTTTTTAGAAAAGGCGGGTTGCTCGGCAGTGGGGAGACCAGCTGGGGACGACTGGGGAAGTTGTTTTGTGGCTGTCGGCAGTGACGGATAAATATGCGCAGAGCCATTGGAGGGCATGGGAGGTACAGCTGCGATATGTCGAGTTGATTGATGCCGTCCAAAGACAGCTCGCCCGGTCGTTCGGCACAATTGTCGATCAAGGGACCGAAAAGATATGAAATGGGAGTGGCAATGGCCAGTGAAGAACAAGCAAAACTCATTTGAAAAAAAAAAAAATGGGCGTGTGCAAACAAAACAAGCGGAGGCTCAAACCCCATTTCCTGTTCGAGATACATTAGCCAGACGACCAGCGGCGCCCATCTTTAGGCAGATGGGGGAGAGTCGAAGCGAACGGTAGCCGGCCGAACAGACAATATGTATATATTAGACCCAGCGAGAGCCGACACAAAATAGAAAAGGGTCAAATGAGGAGCACAAAGTGCTGAGACATTTAAGACTTTTATAGGATGGCAGTTGATGAAGGGCTAGTTTGTGGGGAAGATCGTCGACAGGCGGCAGTGACGAGCAACCGTGCGTCGGAAAGGCTGTCCGGAGAGTCGTCGGTGGCACCTGGAGAGGCACAGTTGATACGAAATAATGAAATAATGATGACATAAAAAAGTACGGCATAGAAAGTTTATTTAAAAAAAGAGGGAAACAAATGCGGCACTGGACGACCGTTTCTGTCCAAACGTCGACGTCTGACATAAAAATCTCGGATGAGGTTAGATTACGACTCGCGAGTAACTGCATCGACCCCGGCCAGGTTCTGGCCGGTCTGGCGAGTCAGTCGTCGTATAGTGTATATAACTCGAATTGTGTGACTTGACTTGACTTTTTGATATACCACCCAAACTATCCAAATAAATAGACCAAAACTCAAGTGATGCAAACTCAAAATGAGGTAAACTCACGCGAAGCAAGCTCAACTCAAAACACAACCATTCCTACGTCTCCTTCTTCTCTGCCTCCCCCGTCTTGGGCACCACGTCGTCCTTAATAAACGTGCCGTCCGGCTGCTGAATGCCGAGCCGCAACACATTCTCCTTTACCCAGAGAAGTCGTCCGTCGTCGGCGACCTCGGCAAACAGGTACGTCTCGGCGCCGCGCACATTGCCGTCCGGCATCTTGGTCGTCGAGCTATGGCGGTCGGCGCGCTGCTTGCCGTCGACCAGAAACTGCGTAATGGTCAGCGACACGGCGTTGGCGGGCAGATTCTCGCGCAGCCAGGTGATGTGCTTGACGAAACCCGGGAAATCAAGGTCCTCGAACTCGGCCGTCAAACGGAACGACGGGTGCACTAAGCGCGTTAGGTCGGCCTCGGTCTCCTCCGGCTTGCCAGAGAAAAAGCTGTTGAGCGCCGCCTCGAAGGTGTCCTTCTGGTCGGTGAACGTTGTTCTAGACGTGGCCATGATGGTGACGTTAAGCGAAGAAAGACGGCCGTCGTGCAAGTGTGAAAGAAAAATGACAAAGGCTCAATCGGTGATGGTTTGAATCCGTCTGAAACGGTTGAGTGTCACTCGTTGTTTGTCGCTTTTATATATCGTGCAAAAATATCTGCCTATCGAAACAGGCACCATTATTTCCGTTCGATGCTGGGGCCTGAATTTTTTAAGGTCGCCATTCGAGATTACCTGGTGCCTGATTGCGTGATATCCAGAATTTGGAGGAACGATCTCACCTGTACGAATTGTACGAAATACTCCGCTCACTTGTACGAATTGTACGAAATACTCCGCTCACCTGTACGAATTGTACGAAAGTACTCCGCTCTATTCCGTGGAAATACCGTCTTGCGATAGACTCCGTGGAAATAACGTCTTGCGAGTGATTAGCAGGCAAGCCAATGCCGCCGACAATGAAGCTGCCTAGGATGATGCAAAATATGGGAGAAATGACACCTAACATGTGGAAATGCAGTATGTTGTATATTACAAAGACAGGAGCAATTCGGGGACCAAAACAAAAATACCCAAAAATAAAAAGATCGCCGCGCTCTCAGCTCGTGCTCAGTCGGGTCGACCGCCGCCGGCCAATGTTCGCTGCGGGTGTCTCTTTGGCAGCAGGTTTTGCGGCCGGTTTCGCTGCCGCCTTCTTGGCCGGCGCGGGCTCCGTCTTTGCCTTCTTGCCGGCAGCACCATTTTTTTGTGTGGATTTCAAGGACGGCTTCTCACCTTCGTCGACAGCCTTGCCCTCGTCGTCCGCCTCTTCCTTAACTGCGCCTCGCTTGCGCTTCTGGCCCTTCTGGCCCGCCCCCTTGTTCTCGGCGGTAGACGCCTTCTTGACGGGTTCCTTCTTCGTAGTAGCAACCGCATTTTTGGCAGCTTGCGGCTTCACAGCAGCCGCCTTCTTTGGCTTCTCGTCCTTGATAACCACGGGCTCTTCTTTGATCCCTGGCGCCACGTTGCCGCTCTTCTTCTGCAGTCCGGGCGCAAAGCAGCTGGTACGTCCGCCAACGGTCAGGAACGCGAGCTTCTCACCGTTGGGCAGCCGGGCCACCGAGTCCTTGCCGCCCTTGCCCCACCGGTGCTGGAACAGCCAATCGGCCGGGAACTTGTCCGAGTCGCCCAGCAGATCAACAGCCGTGCTGCAGACATAGCGGATCGACTTGTAGAGCGTCTTCATCTGTGCATCGCTAAACTCGTCGCAGTACTGCTCCGGGTGCAGCCGTGCGTGGAACAGGACCTCGTCGCCCACCCAGTTGCCGATGCCGCTGATAAACGCCTGGTCGAGGAGCAGGGCCTTGATGGGCACGTGGCGCTTGCGCAGCGTCGACAAAAAGTAGTCCTCCGTAAACGTCGTGTCGGCGTCCACGACGGGATCGGGACCGTTTTCGACGAGCGGCGAGTGCTTGCGGATGGCCGCACCGGGGCAGTCCACGAGACGCACGCGGCCAAAGCGGCGCGGGTCTGTAAAAGCGACCTCGACCTTGGGGCTCGAGTCCGTCTCCAGCTGGAACTTCCAGTACTTGGGCGGCCACGCGTCGGCGTCGCCCGGCTTGAGCTTGTTGTAGTAGTTTGTGTAGCCCGTGCGCATGCCGCGGATGTGCAGCCAGCCCGTCATGCCAAAGTGCATCACCAGATGCGGCGCGCTGTCCAGGACGAGCCAAAAGTACTTGCCCTGGCTGCCTGTCCCGACCACTTTCTTGCCTTGGAGAGCATTGGCCACGGCATCGCCCGTCGTGCCCACCTTGCCAAACACGCTGGCGTCGTCGATGCCTCTGGCCGTCTTGATGCGCTTTCCGACCAGATGGGTCTTGAGGAAGTGCACAATGCGCGCGGCTGTGAAGTTAGTCGCCATGTTCCATCGTGGTCTTGCTGCTTGATTTCGTTCCATTTCATCGGTCTGAATGACGAGGCTTACCTTCTGCGATCTCGGGCATAGTGGGCAGTGTTCGTCTCAAAAGCAGTATTGTCAGGCGGTGGTCGAATTTCGAAATGATATGAACCGCGTATTTGGGTCAAGGAAGAAAGACTGGAGGGACGAAATGCCACACAAAAAAGGAGAGCAGCAAGAAATGACAGCCTGGGAGATTTTGCTCTTGATGTATGCCGTATGTCGTACCTGCCCCCTGAACGAGCTTGGACACGCCAGCCGCCTCCGTGTCGCTGCCTAACGCTCCTTCCTTGGCCAAACGGGGAAGCGAAACCAACGCGCAGTCCCGTGACCAGTTTAATTAAGCTCACGTGCTGGATCCCTTGCTGTCGCAGACTGGTCGCTCTTTCTTCCCATACTCACCGCCCTCGACCCAGTTCCCCACTCTTTCTGCCCACGACAAAAGCTCCAGCTCTGAAATTTTTTAAACGCTTTTCTTCCTCCTCCTCTCCTCTCTTTCGACTTCGCCGTTCTGCTTAAGACGGTACAGCCGCGCTGCAGCCAGCCACAACACATCGCCTACGAGCACACCAACAAACGGTAAGTTCCGAGTATTGGCTTTTACGACACGCACTGCTTCCACCGTCTCCTGATGACACTCAACAAACCGCATACAAACTAGAGTCTTTGACCTTTAGGAATGAAACTGCTTTTGTCACGTCAGTCTGAAAGAACGATTGCGGAAGCAGCTGCTTTGCATTGCTGATCCAGTGTCTGTCGACTATAGCCGGAGACTGATTGCTAACTGGCTAAGAATAGGATGCGGTGGTCACGATAGACGTCGTCGCTTGGTGTGTGTCGATGTCGACGTGTTTGGGCCGAAGACGGAGAATGTACTACGCGTAGTCGAGTCGTCTCTTTCCTCGTCCCTCGCTTCGCAAATGGTACGACCAGTCTCTGTGTTTTCGTCTCGTCCTGCACTTTATGATGATCTTCTTTTTGCTTCGGCAAGTTGGAATTACCGACTGAGTAGCCTCCTGGCTCCTGAAGATAACAATTGGCTGTTTCTGATTGTGCATTCACCATGCTTCTTGTGCCTTGCTTTCCACGTGTCAAGAGAACTCTTGTTTCTAACAACGGAAATAGTAAATGAACGAAAAAGGTACGAACACAGCGTTCCGCCAGGTCCTCTCCCGTCCGCCCGCAGCATCCTCCTTTATGATGAAACGGCACTGGGCTCCGACTCAAGTATGAGCAAGACATGCCACTTTTGCGACAGGCCTAGAAAACCTCGTCCACTGATCCAAATCCCATTGCGAAATGGGCGCATGATGCCGCGGCGGGAAAGGATTGGAAGGCAACCGACAGGCATGAACAACGACTAACGTCTTGTCAGCCGATGAAGATATGAACACACAGTAGAGACTGTCTTGTTGCAGAGCAACGACAAGGTAAGCTTCACAGCATCGGCACAGAGCCACTGCACTGCACTGCATACTTGATCCCCCTCCAATATGATGATTTTTTTAGATGACGAGTCTTATCCGCGTTAGCGATGCAGACAACATGAAATACAATTCCATTCATGCATTCCTGATCTTGGATCTTTTCCATTCTGTCGACTTTTCTGTCCCATGATGGTCATAAGCTAATACATCACAGTGTTGTTCGTTTTTGCGGCAACATGACTGCCAGTTCCTTGACAACTTTTGATATGGTATGTTCATTGTTCTCCGTCTACACAATAATGCCCTTTAAACCCATCACAGCAGCCCTGCCTCCCAATGATGATCTGACTTTACCAAATGACAAGCATATGTCAGAGCCTAACGGCACAGATGAGAATTGTCCTGTCTGAGTTGGCTATTGCTGTTTCCCGTGACCGGCTCGATACATATTTGTGTTGCAAAGTGTTCTAACAGTCGCAGTGTCTTGATCTCATTGGCAACATGACTACTGATTCAACCGCCACTTTGCTGTACGTGAAAAGTCCCTTTTCTTGCGCTTTGCCTTTTTGTCTCAACGACACTCCCCCCTGCTTTGATGATGATCATAAATATATATCACGACGGTCTACATAGCTATATGCCTTGATGATAATTGCCTGTGACAAGGCACGATTCCTGATACAAAGCACAGTTTTTCTCTTAAGTGGCAATCGATCTGGAGAGGGGTTTCTGCTGACGACATCTCCAGATTTCTTTCAGGTTCGCAATCCAGCAGTATAAGCAATTCGGCCAAGGTAAGTCTAGTCATCGTAGGCGTATTCGCGAGATGAGATGTGACCTTTTGGGGAATCAGATATCGTTTTGGATACTTTTGAATATAAATTTTATTTTGGCATATGATTTGCGATTTCTTTTTTCAATACTTGAGTGATGGACGGTGGTGACGATGTAACGCTGGTGCTATAACTTCTTTATTCTCTTGGTGCGTTCTCGTATATCACATTTTACGTATCCTCTGTCTTACGTCGATGCTCAAGACTAACGTTTTAAAGGATCACGATCAGCTCTTACGTTTCACGTCACAACCACTTAGCAGCACCTGTTGCTTGTTTCCACAACAGTTTGGTAACGCTTGAAATTAGGAACGCCGTCACCGTTTGACGTACTGCCGAGACGGGCACGCGCCATGCCGCGAGCAGCTAGTGCAAGGCTTAATTGGCCAGCTGCCTGCAGCAGACGACAGGGGTTTGACGAACCTACGATGTTCGGGGATCTAGAATCCTTTTCTCCTTTTTGTTCTTGTGCTCATTTTTTGTTCGTTGCATTGTTGTGATTTTTATCAGTCGCTCTATATTCCTCTCTTGGGCGCTTTTTGCCTAGGACGGATATTACGCGACCCTCTCTCGATCTGTCACGACTCGCCCTCTATTCACACGCAAACTCACTTAGACGTCGAGCCGCCAAGCTCCAACCATGTCCAACAATGGCCCCTCGGCCACCGACATCATCACCTACATTGGCGTGCCGCTCGCCGTGCTGGGCGTGCTGCCCATCATGTACAACACGTTTATCACGCTCGTCAACGCGTCCAAGATCAAGCGCATGCTCCGCCACAGCCGCCTGACGGCGCTCACCCGCAGCGACGTCGTGAACCGCGTTATAGAGATTGAACTGCCACGCTACGCCGTCACGCCGTGGGACCGGTTCCAGCACCGCCAAGAGTACTGGACGCTGTCGCGCAACCCCAGCTCGATCCCCGGTGGCTCTTGGACGACGTTCAACTGGAAGACGAATGCCATCGGCTTCAAAACCCAGCGCGTCGAGTACGCCGACCAGCTCCGCCAGCCGCAGGTGGACATCGCCTTTGACGAGCTCATCTCGTACCTGCTGGACCTGGGCGCCGTGCCTGACCCGCACGGCTGGCGCCTGCTGCGGTCGACGGGTCTGTGGACGCCCGTGGGCTGTGCGCTCATGAAGTCGCCCGACGGCCACCACAACGCGCTGGCTGTCGCGACGCTCGACGACTCCGATGGCAACTTGTCGCTGAGTGTCACTTGGGAGCCCACATGGACCTGCCGCAGCTTTTCGGACCTGCCACCATACTGGGTCAGCCTGCCGGCGCCGCCACCCGAATACAAGGAAGAGGAGAAGCCGGCAGACGAAAACAAGGAGACAGGACCAGCCGATGATGCGGCAGGTGCAGGTGCAGGCGGCGCTGCGTCGTCGGCCGCGTCGTCGCGCCCTACCACGGCCAACAACGCCAAGGATACAAAGGCAAGCCAACGCAACTCGGTCGACTCGGCAACGCGCGAGGGGTATGCCGCGGCAACAACGCCCATCACCTGCCAGGTCTCTGTGGACGGCATCATTACGGCGCTGACGGAGGAGAAGCGGCGTGCCGGCGGCGTTGCCAGGAACAACACGATGGGCGGCAGCACCAGCTTCCCGCTCACAAGCACGGTCAGCCTCGACAGCCTGTACATTGAGCACATCCGTGTGCGTCCGGGCGTGAGCGACGGCGTGTGGTTTGCGAGCGCGGCCACCGCGTACGGCACCAGCAGCCAGACGATTCTGTGGAACTACCGCATCCCCGACGACATCTTGGCGTTTGCGCGCCGCGAGACGGTGCCCTGTGGCGTGCTCGTGCTGCTCGGCGCGGCGGACGAGAGCGAGACGCCCGAGTGGGCCACCCAGCACAGCTCGGACCATATGCACAAACACAACCTGTTTGTGCAGCGGATGAACGAGGCGCGCTTTGCCGAGCAGGCCGAGCAGCGTCTGCCGGCGCACCAGCGCGAGGCAGCGGCGCGCGACCGCCGGGCCCGCGAGAACATGCAGCGCATCGACGACATGCGGGCGGACATGCAGCGGGATCGGGAGCGGCGCGAGCAGCGGGAGATGGAGGCACTGCACAGCGCCAAGTGGGACACGCGGCTGGTCGCCGAGCATGCGCTGCGCTGGCTGCTGCGGGAGAAGAAGCAGCGCGCCGGCGAGACCTCCGATCCGCAGCAGCCGGCACACGCGGACATGAAGGAAATGGCCGGCCACGTCCTGCATCGCATGGTGCGCGACGGCGAGTTTGCGGGCAGGCTGTGCCGCATGCTGGACCAGTGGAAGTCGTGGGCCGACCTGGGGGGCATGAAGAAGGCGGATCTGCAGGCGCTGCGCGCTGACATGGAGACGTTTGTGTATGCGGCGCTGCTCGTCTCCCTGATCAAGGACTCGACGAGCGCCCTCGACGGCACGCTGTCTGTCGACCTCCAAGAGTGCATGCGCATGTGGCGCAAGGTGCGGTTAGGTTGAGTGGTGTCTGCCGTCCCTTGCCTTCCTTTGCTTTTCTTTTGGATTATACATTTCTTTGCATGGCCGTACTTTTGTATTTTGGCATAGATAGCGGTTAGCTGCCATTTATTTTCTTTCTTTCTTTCTTTTTTTTTTTCCTTTTTTTTTGATAAAAATATTCAATATCCGTCAAAGCACCAGAACAAAACCCACAACCCGCCAGGTCCCTTGTCAAACGCCCTGAACACCCATACGAACGCTATTTAACGCTGTCGCTACCCGCATATACCAGTCGCCGTGTCATAACAACCGGCCCTACGCCCGTCCGTCCAAGCCGTCCTATACTTTGTAGAAGCAGAACGCCACGTAGAAGCCCGCCGCTTCCATCTCCTCCTTGCTGACCAGCAGCTCGCCCGTGTTCCGGTCGCGCACACCCATTCGCTCGCTCAGCGGGCCCAGTGTGCGGTCGTCCTTCTCGGCCTCCCAGACTTCGGGGAACGTCTTGTGGTACTGCAGCTCGAGGTTGTAGTCCTCGGCCAGCGCGCGGAACGCGTGCCACGGCACGACGTACTCGGGCACCTCTTCGACGGCCTCGTTGAGGAAGAAGTTGTACTTCCAGCCAAACGGTGGCCGGAATACGCCGTCGACGGGTGTGTCGCCGGGGAAGCGAACGCGGTAGATGCTGTTGCCCCACTCGGCCGTCTGCCCGGACGCCGCGGGCGCCTCGGGCTCGATCTCACCGTTCTCGCCCGGTTCACCGCTCTGGCCCGCCTTGGCCGCCGCCGGCGGTGCCGCGGCGGCTGCTGCCTCGTCGGCCTTCTTCTTCTCGGCCTGCTTGATGTGGAAACGCTCGACCTGGTCGCCCAGCACGTCCGAGTTGGGGATGCAGCCGAGGAAGCGGCCGCCCTTCTTCAGCGCCGACGCCACGTTCTTGAGCATGGTGCGTGCCTTCTGCTCCGTCTCGAACGCGTAGTGCATGCAGAACATCATGCTGACAACATCAAAGCCGCGCCGCGACAGCGGGTTCTGGTCGAAGCCCACGTCCTGAATAATGTTGATGTCGCCAATGCTCTCGCCGAAGCAGTCCTTGACCACGAACCGCGCATCGAACACGCGCGGCGGAACGCGGTGATGGTACCCGCCGCGTCCACCGCGCCCGCCACCGCCGCCGCCCCGTGTCGTCATCTCGCGGTACCGGTCACGCGCCTGGTCGATGCTGACGTTGGCCGGGTCCAGCCCCACGTACAGCTGCACCTTTTGCGGCGCCTGGTTCCACTTGCCGAGATCGCCGCCTTTGCCGCAGCCAATGTCGAGCACCAGCAGCTCGTGCTGGCCGGCGCCGCCGATGCCGTGGAGCGTGCGCTCCTCAAAGTCCTCGTCGGGCGCAAACTTTTGAATGATGCAGCTCTTGACCCAGTTGTTCATGGACCGCAGGCCCCGAATTGTGCTGGCCGTCTTGCGCCACTCGCGCCCGCGTTCGGGGACGGCGTTGTAGTGCGACCGCACAACGTCGTCAATCACGGCACGCTGCTGCCGCCGCTCCAGCTCTTCCTTGTTGTGGCGTTCGCGCTCGAGGGCGCGTTGGCGGATGGCTTCGCGCTCGGCATCGGTGATGCGAGCCCGCTGGCCCGGCCGTTTGGGCTTGCGCGGCAGGTCGGCGCCACCACCACCACCACCACCACCACTGCCGCCGCCACTGCCAGCGCCCGCGCCCGCGCCCGCGTCTCCACCAGCACCCAATCCTGAAGCGGCCGGCGATCTTGAGCGGGCACGTCTCTTGGCCGGCTCGAGGGCGCGGGCGTCAAACGGCTGTGGAAGTTCGTCGTTGGCTCGGCGGGCGTCGTCGTTGTAATCACGGTCGCGGTAGTCTCTGCTATCTCTGCTGCCACGCCTGTCGCGCTCTTCCTCGTCGCGCCGCGACGCATACGACTGCAGTCTGCGCTTTGGTTGATGGTCGTCCCGGCGGTCGTCCCGGTGGTCGTTCCGGCGATCGTCTCTGTAGTCTCGACGGTCACGCTGGTCAGGCGAGTGCGAGCGGCGGCGCTCATTCGGAGCATCACGGTGTCTCTCGGTGTTCCCCTGGCTATGCCGCGAGTCGGATTCGGTGTTGTCGGCCATGTCGATCGACAAGACGAAAGTGACGCTCTTCAAGCCCAAACACCCGTCATGCGCTTTGTGTGCTCCCGAATATCGATGTAAAGGACGGTGGATGGGAGTCTAACAGTGACAAAGTAAAGGTTTTGCTTCTAGATCTATAGGCAGCTTTTGTGTGTCTTTATATTTTCACCGGATGTTGTGTTATTCAGAGACGACGTCGTTTTGCAGAGCAGCTGCTGAGTGTGGTCGCTCTTGCGCTACGCGGCTGAATCGGTGGAGCTGGCTGCTGACGTAAGTAGCGTTGCTCGGCAAGCGATTTCGCCTGTGTGTTTGGAAGGTGCGAGTCTGCCGCCTGCCCTGCCTGGGGCGCCCTGGAACGCGTGCCTTGTCTGCCGCCTAGCGGCCACACCTGCCCCAATTCCCACCAGCCGCCCACTCTGTCCCCTCCAAAAAGCTTCAATCGAGCTGGAGCTGCATATCTACACAGACACCACACTGCACCACGCCACAACCAGCCTCTGACGTGCATTGCATTCGGCGACGACTCCCAGCGCACCAGCCATCGACCATTGCATCTCCCTGGGCCTTGTCATCGCCCATTTCCTCTCTGAGCGAGCACGGCCGAGCTGCCCTTTCCACTGGACAAACGACATCGTCTCCGGCGTCACCACATCTACATCAACCGTCTTTCTCGCTCTCGCTGCCATCATGGGCTCGGACCCGCAGTACACAAAGTGGCCGCTGCTGCCGCTGGCCCAGCAGGTCTTTGCCCTGACCAACCCCTATGCCGGCCGCACCGCCCAGCAGGCCGCCGTCAAGGCCGTCCAGGAGGCCATTAGCGAACACAAGATGGCACCGCTCTACCGGTACCTCGCACACCCCGTCGAGGGCATTCTGAACGGCGTCGGCGACCTCTCCTCCTCCTCTGCGACCGCTTCCTCTGCCAAGACAAACTCCTCTTCCTCCTCCGCCGCCGCCGCCGCCGCCGCCACCACCGCCCCGCATATCCCGCCCGGCAGACCGCTGAGCCGCAAGTCGAGCGCCGTCGGCATGATTGCCAACAAGAACCCCACGGCCACGGCCGCGCTCGCCTGGGACGAGTCCCTGTACCAGACGCTGCAGAAGGACAACGAGACGGAGCTGGCGGGCCTGCAGACCGAGGAGGACGAGGCCGTCGAGCAGGCCGGCGACACCGAGATCCAGGCGGTGCGCGGCAAGCGCGCCGAGTTTTGGGCGCGCGTCGGCGACAAGGACAAGGCCCTGGCCGCGTACGAGGCGGTCTTTGAGAACACGGGCATCCTGGGCGCCAAGATCGACGTCGTGCTGGCCATGGTGCGCGTCGGCCTGTTCTTTGGCGACAAGTTTTTGGTCAAGCGCCTGCTGGAGCGCGCCACCGCCCTCGTCGACGCCGGCGGCGACTGGGACCGCCGCAACCGCCTCAAGGCCTACGAGGGCCTGTCGCTGCTGACGGTGCGCTCCTACAGCGTGGCCGCGCCGCTGCTGCTCGACAGCCTGTCGACGTTTACGAGCTACGAGCTGTGCACCTACAGCCAGCTCGTCGTCTACGCCGTGCTGGCCGGCTCCGTCAGTCTCAAGCGCGTCGACTTCAAGGCCAAGGTCGTCGACGCCCCCGAAATCAAGGCCATCCTGGGCGACGGCGAGGACAAGCTGCTGGCGCTGTCGGGTGTCATCTCGGCTGGCCCAGGCGCGGACGCCGATGCGGACGCCGATGCCACGGCGGCCGCGTCGTCGGGCGCAGCATCAGGAGCAGCAGGCGCGTCGGGCGCAGCAGGGCCCTCCAAGGGCGTGGTCAACCTGACGACGCTGGGCACGGGCCTCGAGCAGGCCGAGGCCGAGGTCGCGGTCGACTTCTCGCCGCTGGCGCAGCTGGTGGCCAGTCTGTACACGGGCCGCTACAAGCAGTTCTTCCAGGCCCTGGCGCAGGTCGAGGAGCAGTTCCTCAACCAGGACCGCTACCTGCACGAGCACAAGAGCTGGTTCATCCGCGAGATGCGCCTGCGCGCCTACCAGCAGCTGCTGCAGTCGTACCGCGTGGTCGGGCTCGACAGCATGGCCCAGGACTTTGGCGTCACCGTCGACTTCCTCGACCGCGACCTGGCCAAGTTCATTGCCGCCGGCCGCATCCCCTGCACCATTGACCGCGTCTCGGGCAAAGGCGTCATCGAGACCAACCGGCCGGACGACAAGAACAAGCAGTACCAGGACGTTGTGCGGCAGGGCGACCAGCTGATTACGAAGCTGCAAAAATACGGCCAGGCCGTGCGCCTGCGCGGAAGCGAGCGGGCATAGTCAAGAACCTGCGTTGGCGAGGGCCGCAAGGATCGTGGGAAACGAGCTGCAGACGGCCAAGGCCGTCTGCAGCAAAGTCAAGGAGGGAAAAGGGTTTGCTGTTTGGTTGGTAAGAGTCGGCACAGGACGAGTCTTGTTTTTTTGACGCATTTTATAAACCATTAGTAAAATACGACACATTCAAACACATCAAGTACAACACACAGTACTGTTGAGAAACTATGCAATAATCCATTCGTTATATGTCTAAGCAGATCTCTCAAATATATCCCGATCCAAGTATCATAACCAAAGAGTGAGTAGCGATGCTGTTGCAGCAAAGACAAATTCATTCTCCCCGGTGCCGGGAACAGAGAATATCAAAAAAGGACACGACACCGCACCAAGCGTATAAACAGCATCCTTCATCTATAGGTGTCCATAAACTCCTTGTGGAACTTGATGATGCTGCCCACCCACTCGGTGCCAGGCGCCAGGAACGTCGTGCGGAAGTGCAGCGTGTTGGGCTTCTGGCCGAAACCGCTGCCCGCCACCACGCACACACCGGTCGCCTCGAGCATCTTGAGGCAGTAGAACTCGTCGGCCGTCCGGCCCTCTGCCGCCGCCGCCGCCGCCGCCTTCTCCGAGAGCTGGATCGTCGGGAACAGGTACATGCTGCCCTGCGGCTCGCCGCACTCGACGCCCTCCATCTGGTCAAAGGCCTTGTGCAGCGCCACCGCACGCTCGCGCAGGCCGTTGTAGATGCCGTTGTACTCCTTGTCGTACAGCTCGTAGCTCGGCTCGCCCGGCTTGGGCGGGTTGACCATCAGCTCGACCAGGCACTGGCCGACCACGGGCGCGCACAGCATGATGCTGACAAACTTGTAGATCTCGGCCTGCACCTGCGGGTCGAAGCCCACGAGCTCAAAGTAGCCGCCGCGGTGGCCACACTCGCCGACCATGCCCTTGGACACCGAGTGCAGCGACGCCAGCTCAATGTTGTCGTACTTTCCGGGGTTCTTCTCCTGCATCCGGCGCAGCACGCCCTTGAACGAGTGGAACTTGCCCACGAACACGTTGGTCTGGTACACCTCGTCGGCAATGATCACGAGCCGCTCCGCGCGCGCCAGCTCGATCACGGCCTCGACGTCCTCCTCCGACAGCGACGCGCCCGTGGGGTTGCCCGGGTTGATGACGACAATGGAGCGCACATCCACGTCGTTCTTGCGGGCCTCCTGCAGCGACGTGCGGACCGCGTCCATGTCCGTCGCCCAGTTGTGCGCCTCGTCCAGGTAATATGGCACGCACTGGGCATTCAGCAGCGACAGCGACGCCGTGTACAGCGGGTATTGTGGAATGGGCACGAGCACGCCCGACGACGGACCTGCACAGATCACATGCAGCAGCGTGTTGACCCCCGACGAGGCGCCCGCCGACATGTAGATGTCCGCCTCGTTCGCCGGGTAGCCGTCGCGGCGCTCCAGGAAGTCGGCAATGCTCTGGCGGATCGCGGGTGCGCCATTGCTTGCGCTGTACGCACCGACCGAGCCGACCTTTTCCAGCAGCCACTTGGCACGTGCAATGACGTCCGTCTTGTAGCCGAGCGAGTTGATCAGGACATCCTCATTCTCTAACAGAAGTGGGTTCTCGACCAGACTCAGGACCTGGCGGAAGAATGTGATGGGCTTCTGGTCGAGCTGCTGCGGGTTGCCGATGTTGGCGGAGACGATCTGGTTGAAGGGGAGGGACGTGTCGTTCTTCGCGAGGCGCGCACGATACTCTTCCGAGCGCACGGCAAGCTCGCCTCGTACGGCGTACTTGGCGGCCTTGACATGGGGATTGATGTTGTCGTAATTTAAACGCCGCTGCGAGGAGGCCGACATGGTGACGGTGGGCGACGAGGAAAACAATCTAGTATGGAGAAATGTCGGCGAGACGGTTGAAGTCTGAGCAGGTATAGTGGCAAAAAGAAGCGGCGACGAGCCGTGAAAAGTGCCAGACGTGCGAGAAGAGCGTAGAGCGGGTGGGATGCGTTGCGTTGAAGAGAAAGTCGGCGACGGCACGGCAGCAAATACGGAGCCGTAGGAAAAAGACGGAAACGCGGTTGTTTGCCCTGGAAGAGTCACAGCCGCTGGCGTGGTCGGCGGCGGTGAAGCTAGGCCTTCGGAAAGCTGCGCTGGAGCGGCAAAAGGCGAGAGTTAGTGAGTTGGGCCGAGCGAAAGCGAAGGGGGAAGGATTGCCGAAACGGGTAAGAAACTAACACAGGCTAGAGGAGCGTGCTGTGCCGTGGGTGACGTGGGGGCGTTGGAGTTGGGGAGTTGGGGAATGGGGTGAGAAAGAAGGAGAGCTCTCACAAGGAGAAGACGATACTGTGCGGATGAAGCGTGAGGATGAAGGAAGAAAGGTTTCGTGATAGGATGTAAAGGTATTTTGGAAAGAAGAGAGCAAAGGAAGGAAAGTAATATTTATACCAGGTGACAGGAAAGAGCTGACCGGAGAGGCGGATTTATGTAAGTAAGCCGCAGAGAGAGACCAGGGGAGGAACGATGCGGCCTGATCATGTGAGGCAATTACAGGCGAGTTGAGGAAGGAAGGAGACAGAGGGTGGGTTTTGTCAGAGGTGCAGACAGGTAGACAGGAAGGATCATGCCGGTTGTTTACGGTGCTGTTTGCGCCTGCCTTGCCATGTATCGTTCGACTTTCGACTGCGCATGAGATGGCATGGTCTTGCCATTTTGAGCAATTGCCAATTTGAGCAACTGGGACTGGACAACGACTTGCCCTAGCGGATCGCACCTCCTCGCACTTGTAACATGCCTCGCCCTTTGCCCCTCTGCGCTGCATTTACAGGTACTTGTTTGGGAAGGATTTTAAGGGCAACAGGAGAAAGAGAAGGAGCGAGCCACTGATTCACTGGTTTGGTGTAACGAAAATGGCCATCGCCGCTCTCGCTTGATAGCTCCTTCTTTAGATGGCAATTATTCCCTTTCTTTCCACTTGGAGTCAGAGGGATAGAGCGGCTGTCTTGGGGAAGGCGCAAGTCAAAACACAAACGGGGATCCGACACCGGCAACGACAGCCTATGGAAAGGACGCACGGCCGCGAAAGACGGTTGAATATGCAGGAGGCCAAGAAGTGAGAGAAATATACGCCCGTATGGGTGAGGGAAGAGAAGGGATATGCCAACAATATGGCGCATAAGACACTCTGGAATAGGCAATTGTAGGCTGAGCCGAGCGTTGGAGTCTTGGGGGTGAAACGATGCCATGCGATTCGAAAGAGGAAAGACCCAAGCAAACAAAAACACACACAAAAACTCACCTGACGAGAAACAGGCCAGAAGTGGGTCAACTTCCTCAGTCGACTGTGGGGTGGATAATGCTGTTCCTGCCCTGGCAGCAACCATCCGACTCATTGACGTGCCTGCCTTCACTCGCTGCGTCCGCACAGCTGCGGTCTGGGCAGAGCCCAGCGCGCCAGGCGCCCTGTAAATGGCAGAAAGCATGGCGAAGTGTCGACAATGGGCGACGCTGTTGGGGAAGAAGGTGCGGTGGGCAGCCAGCGGAAGGAGCGGAGGACGAAATGGTCACGATGTTTCTATTTTACTCCCCTCCTTTTATTCACTCTCCAGGCGAGGAAGGAGGGACCAGCAGGCGTCACTATATATAATAATCCAGTGACCACCCGCTGACCGCCTCGAGATAGCACAGACGCTGACGGTGAAATAAACGGAGAATATATTTATAGGGAGAATATACCGATAGAATGCGAAAAAGAGGGGAGATGTTGTGTGTACGGAGTAGAACGGATCTCCGCTTCCCGCTCTACTGGACTCAATTGGGCCAAAAAGGGGTAACCGGTGGAAGTGGTCTCTCAAGCGGTTGCTGTCGTGTGAGTCAAAAAAGGCCCCGACTCGTCAGTGGTGGACGGATCATTACAGCGCCTTGGCCAGTAAGAGTTTTGGTCCCTGAAAATGGGCGACACAACGGCAGCGCCAAAACTGCGGCCAAAAATTGAGCTGAACTGTTTTCAGCGCCCAACATAAGAGCCCTCTGATTGGCGGGTATCGCTCTCTGACCCACTTTTACCTTTCGACGTCGTTCAAAGGTTTTGGCGCAAAAGCTTTTTCGTGAATGGCTTCACTTTGGCCGCCGTCCGATCCATCCAACAGCACACATTCGAACCTCGCGCGACCTACCAACCCGCAAGTATGGCAAAGAAGGGTACGGCCAATCTTGCAATGGATTTTACCCCTTGATTCTACCGCGCAGCCAATGCTAACGGTCCCGCAGCAAAGTCACGCGTCATTTCGGTGCGCGTCCTGTCGATGGCCATGACCGGCTTCTTCTACACCTTCACCCGGCCACGCACATCAACACCGCTCAGCTTCCTCAAATACGACCCTATCGGTACGTTTCTGTCCGTCTTCTTTGGCGAGGACAGCGCCAGTGCTAACCGTTGCCTCTCCAGTCCGCAGAAAGGTCCTCTTCCTTGAAAAGAAGCGGAGCGGTAAATAGACGACGAGCGACCAACAGCGGCACGGAAAAGAACACATCAAAACGAAAATATTGTCGAGACAAACGAACGGGGTGGAGAACGACCTGTGCGCCGTTTCGTCTGTTCCGCTTGCTCCTCAACAGCACCTTGTACAAAACGCGTAAACGCATCCATGCATTTCTCATCTGGCGTTTGGGGGGAATTGGGAACCTTATAAACACACCTTGTCGAATATACTCTATTGATTGATTGCTAAGAAGAGTAAAATCTGCACACGTGAATGTATATACATATACGTTGCCTATGGACTTCGTCTGCCCCTCTCACGAGTCTTCAATCTTGATAAGCGCCGGTCGAGAACTGGCCATCATGGCCGCAACGGGCTCGATCTCGTCCTGGATCATGGAGGGCAGTACCTCTGACTGCCCGCCACCCTGGAAATACACCGAAGTTTCGCTGTGTTCCCTCACTGATGCTGCCACCACCCCATGGCCGGTTACGGTGTCTAGCCGCTTTCGCTTGGCGCTTCGAGTCGCCCTCTTTCCGGTCGAGCTGACCGGATTGCGCCGTGCAGCTTTGTTTGCCGCAGACGACCGTGTCTCTCGTCGGGTCCGCGTCGGTATGGGGCTCGCAACCATCGGCGAGCTCAAGGTTCCCATGCCACTCTTTGGATCGACTGCTACATGGACGATGCGTTCCTTGTGCACTGGTGGCGGCTTCATGTCCGAGCCTTGGTCTTGGGGCCCTTGCCCATAACCAGGCGTCTTCAGCGAGTCCCTGCTGCCGCCCAGGATCGCCGCCTGTATCGCATTCGTCCACGTCTCGGCAGAACTCCTAGCATGGCCTGCCGTCTTCTCCCCTGCCACTTCGGCGTCTAGGAATGCCGACAGGTCGGACACGCACTGTTCGTGCTCGTCGTCAATGTCATGATGCAGGGGTGTTAGTACGGCTGGTGCTGCTGGTGCGGCTGTGCTGCGTCCGGATCCAAAGCCCAGTTTTGCGTCTTGCTCATTCTGGCACGCATAGTATTGCCGTAGTTGGGCGAGGACGTTATCGATCTGCTCTGCCTCCCGGATGCGCGCGGTCGCGGCACAGGATTGGTCGATTTGGCTAAGCATCTCGAGGCGCGAGCGGATGGCACTAATGTGCGAGTGATCCTGCGCCCAGACGCGCAAGTGCTCGATGAGCACGCGAACCTTTTCGTCGTATGCCTCCATGCTGCTTCGCAGGTTGACGTAGTCCATCTCCTTGTCTGAGAGGGCAGCCTTGAGCTGTGTGATGAGGGTAGCATCATGGTCCAGGCGGGTCTCGAGAGCTCGTGTTTTCTCTTCTAGGTGCACAGTGACGGCTTGGTTGCCGAGTTTTGATGCACCCAGCTCGTTCTGCAATGCTTCGTTGGATTGTTCGATCCGTTTGCTTTTCTCCTCTTCGACAGAGAGGTCTTCTTTGGCTTGCCGTAGTTCCTTTTCTAGGGCTTGACGTCTGGCTCGCTCTTGCTGGAGCTCTCTCTTTGTTTCTTGTTTGTCTTCGCCCGATGTCCGCCGGGCTTCCTTGATTGCAAGCTCCGAGGCTTGGTCCACAGCACGCCGATACTCTTCTTCCCGGTTGTGAAAGGTGCTGGTCAGCTGCTGGAGTTCGGATGCAAACTTTTCCGATGAAGATATGAGTGACTTTGTTTTTTCTTTGAGGCTTTCCTCCAGCCGAGCGACCAGTGCCTCTTTCTCCCTCAATTCGAATTCGAAATGACGACCTTGATCTTGCAGTGCTATGATTTGTGCGGCCATTTTGGGATCCTCACGAGGGCGTTCCTGGAGCGTCCGGAGAGCGTTGTGCAGTTCGCGAATTTCAAGGAATTGCTCTTGTGAGATACGGTTTTGCTCCGCCAGTTGTTTCGATAGCGTTTCGCTATCAACTTCTCGTTGTTGGCAAAGATCTGCTAGAATGTCGCATTCGCGAATTTTGGCGGTGAATACTTCATGAAATGAAACCTCGTGCTTGTCGATGCATTTTTGCAAATCACCAATTACACTGGTAATATCCAAGTGTAAAGAAGACTCTGCCTCTTTTCTTTCACCATCAGAAGCATCAAGTTTGTCCAGAATCCTGTTGTGGGGTCAGTGGTGGTCGGGTGGTGCGGATGCAAAGAAGATCTGACAAGATTAGTGAAACGCACTGCTTGGAAAGAGTCTCGGTCTCCTGCTGTGACATAGCGAGTGCCTCGACATGTTGTTGAGAGGCCGTCAACAGCCCCTTTAGACATTCGACCATGGCACCACGTCTGTTCTGTTAGCTGGTCTACTTTTAGAGAAAATCACAGGGGCAGCGACAAACTACTCACTGCTCTTGATGCTGTTTGTTGATGGCATGTCCCTCAGCCAAAATCTCAGACTTTGAGTCGCTTAGCTTGTCAATAATTTTTTGGGAACAGTTGGTCAAAGCCTGGAGGTTTCGCTCAGGGATGGTGTCTAGCCTGTTGGCCAGCTGCTCGTTTGCGTCTTTCTGGGCTTGGATTTCCGCTTCACGGAGCTTTAGCTGTAGCTGTACGTCTTGTAGTTTTGCATCGGCTGCAGATGTTAGTAGTGTTGCGTTTCAAGTATGTGTATCGGTGCAGCAGCATAGTGCATACCTTTTTCTTGGGCTTGTTTGGCTTTTTCAACGGACATCGCAGCAGCATCACGCAGCTCTCTTTGCAACGTAGTGATTTGTGTCCCCATCTCACTTATGGTCTTGCGGACGGCCAACAGTGCGTTGTGGTCCTGAGCAGCCTTCTCTTGGGCCTTCTCAGCGTCTTGCCTTGCGTGGCCGTGTCTCTCTTCTGATGCCCGCAGTTCATCCTTTCCTTTTTGAACATCATTGCGCAGTTTGTTAATGACGTTGTTGGTATTCACGATCTTTCGTTCGAGCTCTTCATTCTTTTGCTTGAGCTGCCGTTTGTCTGTATCAAGCAGATCTGCTGTCACGTTAGCATCGTTGAGGGAGAACCTGAGCTCGGTGATTTCTTGCTCTTGCAGTTGGATCTTTGTCTGCAGATCTTGGAATCTGGTGGCAATGGCGTCTTGGATGCCGCGACATCCGGCATCCACGTCTCCGGGATGTGAGTGACTGCTCTGCTGAGTGCTCCGTGCCTGGTTGCCGTTGTCCTACGACTGGCTACCCCGGCGGTCATTGTCAGCGGCTAAGCCAGGGTACGAAACGATGTCGCCAGAGACACGGACGGCGTCCTGGGTGCCTGGTGTTCGAGTTTGGATTGAAGAAAGGGTCTTTGGTTGGCCCGTGTGGTCTCGTTGCTGAAACTTTTGCGTGAGCGAAGAGAAGTAGCTGGTCCGGGGCAGGGCCTTGTCTCGATCTCTGGGTTTGGAGGTAGATGGAGGCATTCTTCGTGACGCCGGTGACACTTGCACGATAGCATACCCAGTCAATATAGCCCAAAAGACACAAATATAGAAACATAGAAGAGTGTACGACAAACCATTTCCAACAGGACTCGTCCTTGTGGTTTCAGCATCGAGCTCGAAGGGTTTCAAGAGTGCATTTGGCCGCTTTGAAGACGAAATTTGCGTGTCCTGGCCGAGGCCGACAACACTGGTAGATGCCAACGCATTTCTAGGGGGGAGTAGCAGCTCCATATTCCTGTCCAATTGAGGCGTATCCGGAACTCGAAAGTCGTCGAGGTCCATGATTGCCGTCCGGATAGTGCAGATACTTGTTAGATACTGGTTGTGTTGCTGGCGGTGAGGATCCGATGTGGATGGCGGATGTTGACAAGTTGACAAGAAAGGAGGTCAGTCCATCAACTGGAGAGAAAGCAAGCACTCGTGACATCAGTCAGCAATGGGGAAGGCACGATCGAAGCTGTGTTTATCTACGTCAGAAGCGGGCGTTCCTGCTTTCCTTGCTGTGGATGTCTGCGTGGAAGGAGCAATCGGCTTCAACATATCACTAGTGATACGCCATGGAAGGAGCGACGAGGCTGATGAGTGGAGAGTATTGGACTACTATGAAGTGATATAACAGCAGTTACTTGTAATGTACGGTTTCTAGTACACTTGTGACGTTGCCTTGAGTGTACTTGTGGTCAGATTATTATATTATTTTTACTTTACGAAGCCCAAGAAATGAATACATAAACAAGTAAATTCAAATAGAAAACAAAAAAAAAAGGTTTCCGCCAGAGCAACATTATTTTGTCTCTATTTTCTTCTTTTTTTTCTTTGAAAATATACCACATGACTTCATACCCAATTTCCAGTTCCATATTCTAGAAAACAATTTTGGAAACAAAAAATAATCATATTGCCGACCACTTTAGTTCGAGATTGAGAAACGGCCATTTTTCACACCAAGGCCGATTTACAGACCCAAGATGAAGCACGCAACAATCGATAAGGAGCATTTGACTTTCGAACCGGACAAAAGAGAGGCTTGCAAAACACTCTGTGTGTCGTCGATCTGCATGCAACTGCCACAAAGCCCCAACGTCGTCACCTCGTAGCCGCCGAGCAATATGTGGCACCTGCCGCGTGTACTGTGATTGGCTGGCGGGCGGTGTGCACTAACACGCGAGCCCTTGCCGCTTTTCGAGAGGGAAGGGTGCATGAAGCACACCCCCAAAGGCCCAAAGGCCGGCGCTTGGCCGGTCGACGACAGAAAACAATCGACGAAACACGGCCTGGGGCCTGGCTAGGGTCGCCAATCAGACGGATGCATCCCCTGGTCTCGCCGAAAACACAGTGGTACCTTGCGTGTGCAGTGCCGAGTCGAGCACCGAACCCCCCTGCGTCGATGCTCGCAAAAGAGCAGAACGTGACGACTGTCCAATGAGAAGACGTTTTATCTGAACGACAGAGGCCAGTCACATCACGCGGTGCGCTGGAGGGATGGACAGAGGGGCAGATGCTGTCGAGTGACAACGTAGTGCAGCCTTGGCGATGCACGACGCCGCCGTTCTGGTCACAGTGAAACTGTTTCTTGAGGTGGTGGGCGCAAAGAAAGGAAAGGGAAAGAGCAAAAAGGCAGAGACCCCTGTCAATATGCAAAACAGAGTTGGTTTCTATGAAATATGCTAGAGAAACTGTGCCGGCAAAGTGAAATGTGAAATGTGAAATGTGAAATGGAAACTGGGCTGCCCCAACGATATACAAGTGATGAAATGAATGAAAAATGGCTCCTCAGGGAAGAAGAAAACATCCTGCCGCCCGCCTATATACCAGAGAGCAAGCCCCCTTCTCCATGCTTTTGTCTGTTGGCCCAACTTTTTACTCTCTTGTTTTGGTCGTTTTGATCTTTCCGTGATATCCTCTCGTCTTCTTTCGCCGCTGGACGTGCTCCCTCTCGACGTTCTGGAAACCGTCATCGCCCCAAGCAACACGACAATACAAGTAAACTCCACCTTCGACACCATGGCCGACACTACACAGACAGCTGCGTTCCCGCTGGGCACCGTCAGCTACTCGGACGGCGGCGGCAGCAGCGACGGCTCGGGGGTCGACAACGCCGGCGGCGCGTCCGGCACATCGTCGGGCGGCATTAACTTGTCGCACGGCGCCATGATTGCCATCATCCTCGTGGTCGTGCTCGTGGCCGTTTTTGGAAGTGAGTGAAAAACACGCCAGTCTCTCCTCGTCTTTGCCCGTCGCGTCCAACTGACACTGCCACGTTGAGCCGCCTCGGCTGTCCTCTTTTACCTCGCCAAGAAGCGCGAGTGGAAGGTCCGCCAGAGCATCCGCAGATCGGCGCGGCGTGTCGTCACGGCGCTCACGCCACGGCGCTCCGAGTTTCCCACGTCGGTCAAGGATGGACCGCGGGGTGGTCGCGGTGTGCGGATCGACGACGTGCCGCCGACACCGCGTCTGCCCAAAGACCTGGAGAAGGGCCTGGGCGGTCGTGACGACAGCGGACGGTCAAACAAATCAAGCAAGACGAGCAAGGCAAGCAAGTCGGGCGCGAAGATGAAGCTCTCCAGTATCGGGCAGAAGTGAGACGCGGAGACCGGATAGGAGACGGGCGACGGGCGGAGGCGGAGGACAAAGGCCCTGCACAATATCGGGTCGGGGATCGGGGCGCGTTTGCGGCGGCCGGCGGCATATGTTTTGCCCGAATGAATGATGAGTCGACAGAGCATCTCTTGACGAGCTCTTTGTCCGTTTTGTACTATTAGATGTGTCCATAGCTTCGTGATATGCCGTTTTCTTTTTGTTTTTCGTCTTTGACCTTGTCCATAGCAGAAAGCAAGTGCCAAACTGGATTTTACCTCATCTCCGTGCCTCCTTATTTCTTCAAGTTGCGGAACGTGTTGCCACTGGCGCTTCTCCGCGTCCGGTTGTCGCGTTTCGGCGCCTCGCGCACCTCCTCTTGCTCGGGCTTTTTCTTGGCCGACTCGGGCACAAACGTCACAGACCGCTCGCCCACCACCTTGCCTTTGCGCGTCTGCCCGAGGATGCTGCTGTTCTTGCTGCTGTTGGCCGCACTCTTCTGCACCCGTGCGCCAATCGTGCCGCGCGAGCCAAACTGCGGCGCCGACGACGTCATGCGCATAACCACCCCATCGCTGCCACCGGCACCACCAGAACGAGTGTGACCGCCGCCCGCCGCCGCCTCCTCCTCCTTCTCGTCCTCCCCATCCGAGTCCGACTCGTCGAGGCCGCTGCGCATCGGCTGCCACGCCGGCTTGCCCAACGCGGGCTTGCCCTGTGCGTCGACGCGCGTGCTCGGGTTGAGCGCGCGGAACTCGGCCGTCGTCTCGTCGATGGCCAGCTCCTCGTCCTCGAAGAAGGCGCCCAGTCGGTCGTCGCCCAGAAGGCCGGCCGCCGCATCCACCTTTTGGCGCTTCTCCTGCTTCTTGAGCAGCGCGTCGACCGTCTTCTGGTTGACCTTGACCTTCTTGGTCTCGCGGATGCGCGTCGCCCGCTCCTTTTCAATCTTCTCCTTGACCCGCTTCATCCGCTCCTCCTCGTACACGTGCGGGTTGGCAATCAGGCGCGCCTGGTCGTACAGCTTGCTTGCCACAAAGAAGCCGTGCATGTACGGCCGCAGCAGGTTCGTCTTGCCCACCAGGTGCGACAGGCTCAGCGCCCGCAGCTCCGGCAGCGTCAGGAACTTGTAGTTGTCGTACGTCGTCGACGACACCTCTTCGGCCATCTCGTCCACCAGCCGCTCGAGGAACGTGCACCACTTGGGCGCCGGGCCCAGCATCGGGATGAACCACGCGTGCTGCTGGCGGCCCTCGTTGGCGCTCAGAAGCATGCCCGAGTCGGGGCAGTGCGCCACCGCGCTGATGTCGACCTCGGGCTCAATCGTCGCCCACGGGTCGCCCGTCACCACGTCAAAGATCTTGATCGCCCGCCTGTCCGACGCCAGCAGCATCTTCTCGTCCGACGACGTCGTCATGTGGATCAGGTTGTTGACGCGCGCGCCGAAGCCCAGGTCCTTGGTGAGCAGCGGCGTCGGCCGCCGCAGGTCGTACATCTGGACGATGCCCGTGCTGGAGCCGGTGGCCAGCGACAGGCCCGACCGCGAAAAGTCGAGCGCCGTGATCTCGCCGTCGTGCGTCTGCAGCGTCGCCACGCGCGCCCGGCTGCGCGTGTCCCAGAACTCGACCGAGCCCAACGACGTGCCAAACGCCGACAGACCATGCGACTGCTCGGCAATCGCCGCTGTGTTGACGCAGCCGACGCCGATGCTGCCCTGCAGACCGCGCTCGACGCCGTCGTCCGATCCGACATCAATCTGGTACGACTTTTGGAATCGTCCGAGTTCCTGCACGAGCGGGTTAGCAGAATGCTCGACACACCCAAAAGAAAAAAAATAAAAAGAAAAACACCACCACAAACAGCGTGCACTCACCAAATTCAGCCGAAACACCTCGCCTTGCCCATCGCCGTCCAAACCAGCAGCCGGCACCAAAACTTCGGTGGCCCGCCGGTCGTAGACAATGTCGCGGCCGAAGCGGGGGATGCGCACGTGGTAATGGCAGCCGTTGGGCGTGTGGAACTCGATACGCCGGTCTTCTTGGAGGTGGACTGGAGAGTTATGTTAGCAGTCGTCCGGGCCGTCCGGGGCAAAGTTTTCTTTCTCAACCTACTCGACTTGGAATAGTCTGTCGAGCACAGGACAAACTTGTTGTTGAGCGAGACTGTGTGGCGGGAAAACGAGAGCGACATCTGGTACAGGTTGTGCACATGTATCTGGGGCGGGAACGTGCCCGTCGACATGACCCATTCGCCGTCCTCCGAGACGCGGATGCAACTGCTTGCGCCCGTAAACTCAAAGTCCTGCAGCAGCTCGACGCGGTTGGCAAACTCGGGATCGTGCTTCAGGCCCCGTTTCTTCTTTTGGGCCAGCCAGTCGGGAAGCGACCGCAGCGACGGGCCGGACACCGTATACACGGGTGCCGTGCCGACGTTGGAGAGCTTCATTGTTCGGGGTGTGCTGTGTCCCTTTTCCTTCTTTTTTTCCTTCTTTTCCTTTTTTTCCTTCTTTTCCTTTTTTTCCTTCTTTTTTTGGACAGAAATATATAAAAGTGTCGAGCTTTACAAAAAGTCTCGTTCTCGTGTCGAAAATGTGCAGAGAAATGCCAAACAGGGGTCGTTCTCGGGTATCGTGGGTGCGTAGGACAATGTCGTTTTCTGCCGGGCAAAAGAGTGACGAGAGGCAGAATGAGGCTGTTCCTGCGCTAAAGAAAATGTTGGCGATAAAGAAAAAAACGTCCGGCTCTTATCGATATTGATAAGACCATTGATAAGAAACAGTTAGCGTGGATTATGTAATATTGTGGAGAACTGAAGCTGTTGAGGCCAACCCCACACTGTGCAACATATGTCACAACGGCAGCTGCAGGCCTGCTTCGTTCGCTCTTGCCCCTCCAGCTCCAGGTGCACGTAACGTTCATCCTCGCCAAACATAAATAAAGCCACTTTATAAACCTTCACTCCTTTATCTTCAGCGCTTCGTTGTTCAAGCTTTTCGGCCGCGCACTCACTTACGTTTACTCTCGTGTATTTTACGCCGTCTCTCTCAGTATCTGCAGTCCGCCTGCAACGACAGCCCCGCCAACCGCCGCCATGTCACGACACAGACTTGTTCGCAACTATGACTATGAGGAGGACATGGACGAGTATGACGGCGGCGAGTACGACGAGGGTGCAGACGATGACGGTTTCTATGATGGAACGGAGGAGCCTGCGGCAGAGTACACCGAAGAGGAGGAGCGGGCGTTCCTGGAGCAGGCAAAACAGAACGTCGTGGCCATGCTGGGCGCCGAGAATGCGGCGAAACTGGCAACCGGGAAAGTCGAAGAGGCCATATTATACTACGATTACGACGAGAGCAAGGCCATGGCCTACCTGATGCGCACGTACATCGACCCACCAAAACCGGCAGAGAAAAAGCCCAAGGCGACACCCCAACAATCTCCAGGTACGCCGCATTACCTTTCTCTGTTTTTCAGTTTGTTTATTAGTTTGCGTTGTTTTTCTACCTCCTGTCTGAACGCTTTGCCTTTATGCGTGTTCTTTGCTTGCTTGTTGCTCTTGTTTCCTCTTTCTTCTCTGGCAACGGAAGCGCTCCAACACATTCGTTGACGGTCGACCACGCAAACAAGGATGCCAATCATGCCCCGGCCCCCTCTATCCTCTGCCGCCCACGACAACACCTCGCGCACCGCCCGACAGTGCCTTTCTCGCCGCCTTTTTTAGTGACATGCCTTGGCTGAATGTGCCGCAGCCGCGCATGGCCGTGCTTGTACCGCCACCACAGCGCCGAGGCGGGCTCCTGGGCGGATCCAGCACTGCCGCCGCGCCCAAGATGTCCAAGCTGCAGGCCCTCGCGGCACAGCGCAAGAGAAAGGCCGAGGAAGCGAAAAGGTCGAAAGAGGCCGGTGGCGGCGGATCCCCGGGCGGTGAGAAGGCGGACGAGGACGTGCGCGAGCTCCGGAACAAGGCGGCAAAGCTGGCCATCGACGGTCCGGCGCACGGATCGCCGAGAGACACAGCGAGCATGGTCAGCAAGGCAGCACAAACAAGCCCACCGAGCAAGAAAACCTCTCCACCGCCAGCACCAGAAGAGCCTCTTGCCATGCAGGATATTCGCCAGGAGGAGCCGACACCGGTGAACAGCGAAAGCGAGCCTGCCCTCGTCGCCCAGCCGTCTGCATTTGCTCAGGCTCTGTTCGGCGCAAAGAAACAAAATCAAAAGCAGAGGGCGCATCCGTCTCAAGGCGAACCAAATCTCCTGGCTGTGCCCTCGCTGTCTCGTGCTCCGCCGTCTGCTTTTGACGCTTTTCTAGGACCCTCGCCCGACGATGTCGTGTTGGAAGCACAGGCCAAAGGTTGGCGCCGTGGCCAGCCCAAGAATTGAGGCGTGACAGCTTGTTTGCTCGCGCTGTATTATTTATTATTGAAAAGTACCATGACTAACGTCTATTGTTTCTGTTCTCTTTCTCTGCGCTTTCTACAGCTTTCAAAAACACCAACAAAAACGCTACAACGAAACCCGCAACAAAGAGCGCGCCAAAACAGCCGGAGGCGCTCGTGGAGGGCGTCAAGAACATGAAGCTCGATTTCGCACCCACAAAAAAGAGCAAGAAGCTCAACGTGTTGGAGGAGCTCAGAAAAGCCAACCTGAAACGCAGCACCAGCTTTGTTGTTGTTGGCCACGTGGATGCCGGCAAGAGCACAATGATGGCCCGCCTGCTGCTCGACCTCGAGTACGTTGAGAAGCGGACCGTAAGCAAGTATGAAAAGGAAGCCAAAGTCATCGGCAAGTCGTCCTTTGCGCTCGCATGGGTGCTCGACGACCACGAAGACGAGCGGAAACATGGTGTGACCATCAACGTGGCAGCGCGGCACTTTGACACGGACAAGACCGCATTTACGATCCTCGATGCACCGGGCCACCGCGACTTCGTGCCAAACATGATTGCAGGCGCCTCGCGCGCCGACTTTGCCGTTCTGGTCGTCGACGCGAAGACGGGGGCGTTCGAGTCCGGCCTTCGCGGGCAAACACACCAGCACGCACTGATTCTACGCAGCATGGCCGTGATGCGCGTCGTGGTGGCTGTCAACAAGCTCGACACGGTCGACTGGTCGCAGGAGCGTTACAACCAGATTGTGGACCAGACCAAGGGCTTCCTGCGCGCCACGGGCTTCTACATGTCGCAAGTCACATTCGTTCCCGTCGCGGGCAAGACCGGCGACAACATGACGACGCGGACCAAGACACCGGCGGCATCGTGGTACAAGGGCAACTCGCTGATTGAGGAGCTGGAGTCGTGCGCGCCCCTGCCCCGGCCCGTCGACAAGCCGCTCCGGCTGCCCATCTTTGATACCTCCAAGGCCGCCGGTAGTGCCGTCACTGTCACTGGGCTGATCGAGGCCGGGTCGCTGCAAGTAGGCGATGCACTGCTTGCTCTGCCCGGCAATGCGCGGGCGTACATCAAGAGCATATTGCGCAACGGCCAGGCGGCTGAATGGGCCGTTGCGGGCCAGAACGTCGCACTCGACCTGACAAACATTGACCCGCTGAACGTGCGGCCCGGCGTGCTACTGTGCGACCCGGCCAATCCGGCGCCGTGCATCGATGCGGCGACCATGAAGGTCATGGCATTTGAGCCGCTGATCCCACAGCCCCTGGAGGTGCACCGTGGCCGCCTTGACAAGGCCGGCAAGATCAAGGAGCTTCTGTCAATCATCGACCTGAAGACGGGCAACGTCCTGAGGGAAAACCCGTTCGTGGTCACGGCATGCCGTGTCGCACGCATCAAGGTCGAGCTGGAAAAGAGAATACCTCTCGAGTCAGGCCAGCGGGTCGTTCTGCGCTCCGAAGGCAAGATTATTGGTGCTGGTCTTTTGGAGTAATACAGGAAGGCATATAGGTCTATTATGGTCGGGAAAAGCGTTTGAATATTCATCTTTTCCGTCTTTTTCTTGTATTTTTTTGGCATGGCTAGCACAGGAAACAGCATAACGAAATCGCCCGAGAAACCGCAACAATACACAAATACGCCACACGCAGCACCGTTGCCTCGACATCGACGTCAGATTACGTCCATCCGACCCCCCCTACAGTGGAACTGTGGAGTTGTAGGCGATGCAGCCGCCAAGGAATGTGCCAGACAGGGCAGCTGTGCTGTTGAGGGTAGCCTTGCCGAGGTCGCTTGTGCCGCACGTCAGACCGAGCACGAACGCGCCCGCCATGACGTCGGCCAGGTACGGCGACGTGTGTGTGTGGTCTTGCGGGTAGTTCTTGCGCACAACGTCGGACCCGAGCGCCTTCATGGCCTGTGCCGCGTACGCACCGTGCGGCACAAAATACGCGCCGGCCTTGGTGCCGCCGAGCTCTTCGGCCGCCAACATCGCATAGTACGCAAACCGGTCGGGCCCCCACGAGTAGACGCCCGCGTCGCTCCACACGTCGTTGGGTGTCGGCGCCGACAGGACCAGCTTGGCGCCGGCCTTGAGGAACGCGGCGCCGGCCTGCTTGAGGTACGTCGGGTACGTCTGGACCGTTTCGGGCTTGCCGTCGTACGTCGTCTGGCACGTCTCGTCGCCGGCGCCGAAGCAGTCGGAGCGGCCATTGTCTTTGCTGAGCCCGCCGCCGTCGTTGTGGCCAAACTCAATGACGACCCAGTCGCCGGGCTGCACTTGTTTGAGGACGGCGGCAAAGCGGCCCTCGCGCGTGTAGCTGCGGGCCGAGCGACCGGCAATGGCCGAGTTGACGACGGTGAAGCGCGCCGGGTCGAAGCTGTAGTGCAGGTACTGGCCCCAGCCCTGGATGGCGCCGGACATGCTGGCCATGGTGCTGTCGCCGCAGAGGTGGATGGTCGGAACAGACGCCGACGAAGCAGAAGCGATGGCGGCCGCCACGGCCATGGTGGCTTTGGAGACGGCCAGGACTGCCGCAGAGGCCTTCATGTTGGTGTTGTTGGTGACGGCGAATGTACACTGTAGATTCCGCGTGCATCGATGTATTGCGCACACGAAAATCAAAACAGAAACACGACCCTTTTCTATGAATTGTGAATGACGTTGGCTATGCCTATTGACTTTTTTTCCTCCATACAAATATGGAAGACAGGAACTTGCTCTCCGCTCGCGTCAGCCATTTCCGGGTATATTTGCCGTATATGGGACATACAATTTGCAAGCTATCCAGGGCCGGCACAGCGGGACGCAATATAAATCGGGATATACGCGGTAACGGTGTATTTACCAACGGTTGCGATTGATCCTGCGACTTGTTTTGCTTTGTTGGAAATCAAGCTTCACGGTACTATTTTCAACGTTGTACTTAATCTTTCCTTTTATATATATATTTGTATCTATTTTTTGGTTAAGGTCTTTTCCTTCCACATTCATCAAGCCTTATCTCGTAAAGCATCGTGCTATTCCAAACAAATACAAAAGCTCAAAACAAATGCCGCCGTCATCCACGTCGTCGCCTCGGTATACATAAAAAATCATAAGAAAAGAAAATACATCGTCCCATTTCTCAATAGTACACGGACACTGACCACGCTAACAAGCTTTCTACGCCTTGCTCGTCGCGCCACCGGCGTCCTTGGCGGCGGCGGCCTCGTCTTCGGCCGAGAACTTGAGACTGACGCTGTTGACACAGTGGCGCTCGTCGGTCGGCGTGTTGTAGCCCTCGCCCTTGAAGACGTGGCCCAGGTGGCCGCCGCAGTTGGCGCACACAATCTCGGTGCGCTGCATGCCGAGCGTGTTGTCGACGTTGCGCTTGACGGCGCCGGGCAGGCTGTCAAAGTAGGCCGGCCAGCCGCAGCCAGACTTGAACTTGTGCGAGGCCTTGTAGAGCGGTGCCTGGCAGCCGGCGCAGCGGTAGACGCCGGCTTCGGCAAAGTGCTTGTCGTACTCGCCCGTAAACGGGCGCTCGGTCCCTTGCTCCCGCAGAACGCGGAACTGCTCTGGCTTGTTGTTAGGACTTGGCGAACAAAGGAACACACAACTATCGAGACAATCAGAAACTCACCAGGATTCAACACGGCGCGCCATTCCGAATCAGTGCGCTGGTCGGGGAAAGACATGTTGTTTTTCCGGGCAGTCGAGGAGGAAGAAGAAGAAGAAGAAGAAGAAAAAAGACTGCCAAGGAACGGAATCGAGGGCATGGACCGCAAGACGGTGCGCGATGTGACTGAAGGCGGCGGAGGAGTTGGAAGAGGAAGACGGCGGAGAACGGACCGGCTGGATGCGACGGAGCGTGCAGAGACGGCAGAGACGGTGCGCAAAAGAGTAGTGAAGCGTTGAGAGAGCATGAAGAGCGTTGTGCGAGGATGGTATGTAGTATGAGACGACAACTGTCTGCTGGTGTGGACTTGGCGATATTTATATACATAAGTCGATGAGATTCGTGATACACAAGGAAAGAGGCCATCAGTGGCAATATGGCCGTAGACAGCTGCTAGACAACTGCTAGACAGCTGCTAGCTTAGCCGTCGCGCAGTGATTTGAGTTACAGCGCTGGACCCACTCTTGTCGCGGGCGGCCGATGTGGAATCGCGCGCAAAGCCCCCACTAGCACCTTCCACCAGAAACTCAAATACGGGGCTCGGAGGGGCGCCTTCCCGCCGAGAATCGACTGGATGACGTGAACCTTGGGCAAGGCAAGAGCAAAAGTACCCCGGTAGATACATAAAGCAAGTTGGAGAGGCTGGCCGCAGCGTACTGTGTCGATGCTGTTGGGATTTTCGTGATTACCCATCATGCAGGCTCAGGCTCCCGGAGACTACCCTGCCCCAGGCCTGGCCTCACTCTGGCAGCCTTGTCTGACATCCACGTGCAGCAGTCGTGTTGAGGTATTCGAACGGGGTGTGCGTCAGAGCCACGCTTTGATGCCGGTTTAGTCTCTGTAGCCGCGATATTTGGCCTTTTCTAGGCTATAGCTGGGATTACAGTGACACAAAGAACATACATGTAAAGAACCTTGCCCGGCCATTCAACGATAGGCATGCAAGTGAGAGCATTTAAACATATGGGGGTTTCGCCATGTCCAGAGAACTGTCAATTGCGAGAAAAATCAATAGACCTGTATCATTGCCTTGCTCTGCATAAGTTCTGTCTGTAGTCATACTTGTATATCAAGTTTGTTCAGAGTCGTCACCAGCAAAATATAATTTACTGTCAACCGTCACCCCCAAATAGGAGACACTGTGCCGCAGCGTATATCGCACACAAATACAGTGTCTATAATTAACCAATCTAAACCAGCACTGTACGAGCCCCGCCAGAACCTTGGTCCGTTTCCAGAAGGAAGGCCCCTGGCGCAATGGCGAGTTGAATAAAGTTCCCCATTTGTAGGCCACGACATTTCCGCTCTTTATCACAGCCTTCGGATGCAGCCCAACCTCGTCGCTCGGCCACCTTGCACCTTGCACCTTTCTGCATACAACAGCACTCTCCTCCCATCAATCTGCGACTTGGAGCGTTTTTCTGTCTGCACACGCCTTTCGAAGACCCGTCAACTGCGCACCGCCCTTCACCTCCTCTCGGCCGTCTCCTTTTCTTCTCGAATTTTGTTGATTCCGACTTCAGTCCGCCTCATCCCGTCCCACAACACACTTCACATCGCCATGTCGCGACGACCAGCCCCCAACCCGGCCGCTGAGCGCGCCGCGCAGAACCAGCAGACCATCAAGAGCCTGCTGAAGCTGGAGCCCAACAAGGTCTGCGCCGACTGCAAGCGAAACAAGCGTACGCCCCTGTCCCCGCCTCTCCCCTAACCCTCCCCCTTTCCTATCATCTGCAAATCACACGCTGACGTTGTAGACCCCCGCTGGGCATCGTGGAACCTCGGCGTTTTCGTCTGCATCCGCTGTTCGGGCATCCACCGTGGCATGGGCACGCACATCTCGCGCGTCAAGTCCGTCGACCTCGACTCCTGGACCGACGAGCAGCTCAAGAGCATACTCGAATGGGGCAACTCGCGCGCCAACAAGTACTGGGAGGCCAAGCTGGCGGCCGGCCACGTGCCGTCCGAGGCCAAGATCGAAAACTTTATCCGCACCAAGTACGAGATGAAGCGGTGGGTCATGGACGGGGGCATCCCGGCGGACTTGTCGACTCTGGACGCCGACGGCGACGACGACATCCCCCTGAGCATCGTCAAGGAGAAGCAGGCCATCGACCGCAAGGAGTCCATCCGCAAGGCGTCCATCGGCAGGTCCGCCAAACCAGCCTCAGCCTCGGCCGCGCCAGCTGCACCCGCTGCCTCCATCGATCTTATCGGCGGCGGCTTTGATGCTGCGCCCATCTCGTCAACGCCACCCCCACGGGCCAGCACAGCTGGCCCCCCGGCCGCACGCATACCGCCCAAGGCCGATGCGGCACCGCCAAAGACTACGCCCGCCGCCGCTGCCAACAACAACAACGCAAAGGACTCTCTGCTGGGTCTCGACTTTTTCGGCAGCGCACAGCCTGCGGCGCCTGCACGGCCGTCGAGCACGACGGGCACTGCGGGCGGTGCCTCTGCGGCCCAGTCGCGGCCGGATCTCAAGCAATCCATCCTCTCCCTTTATGCTACGGCACCCCGAGTCCAGCAGCAGCAGCAGCAGCAGCAACAACAACAGCAAAACGTGAGTGGCTTTGGCGGTATGCCTTCACCAGGTCAGAATGCCGGCGGCGGGTTTGTCGATGCATTTAGCAGCCTGAGCTTCTCGTCCACGCCGGCCGCACCGGCCGCCATCTCACCGAAGCCAGTTGATGCCTTTGCTGGTCTCTCGGGCTTCACCAACGCGGGCGCTACCCGCTCCCCCCCGCCCGCCGCATCCTCGTCTGCCTTTGGTGGTCTGGGCGGTGGCAGTTTCTTTGACAACAAGCCGGCGGCTGCACCCGCACAGCCGCCCAAGCCGGCAGCGACTTCGGCGTCGTCGTCGTCGTCGGCCTTTGGCGGCCTTGGCGGCTTCGACGCCTTCTCCTCCTCTCCCTCGCCGCCCGCGGCCAAGCCTGCCGCCGCTCCCGCATCCGGCGCCTTTGGCGACCTGTTTGACTTTTCTGCACCGGCCCCGGCCGCTCCTGCTGCCACATCACCACCACCCGCAGCGGCTGTGAGTCCGCCGCCCGGCGCGTCCGCGTCCATGAACTCTGTGTTCAACCTGAGCCAGCCTGCCGCCAAGACCGCCGTCAGCCCACCCACGGCCACGGCCGCCGCCGCCACCAGCCCGCTGGCCAGCGTCAGCGCCAACTGGGGCAACTCGGACGTTTGGGGCAGCAACGACGGCTGGGGCTCGTCAGCGCCTGCGCCGGCCGGCGCTGCCGCCGCGCCTGCGATCACGACTACCTCGTCCTTTCAGAACACGGGCCTCGGCAAGGCCTCCACGGCCAACGACTTTGGCTGGGGTGGCAGCGGCAGCGGCGGCAGCGGCGGGGGGGCCGGCGCTGGTACCGGCGCTTCGTTTGCCAACCAGAGCATTGTCCCTGGTGCCGGCGGCGGATTTGCGCCTGCGCCCAAGGTCGCTGCGGACGAGGAGTTTGGTGGCTGGTCGTCGAGCACGGCGGCTGCCGCCAACAACGGCGTGAAGCCTGCGGCGGGTTTCGGCGCCAACGAGGACCTGTTTTCCAACGTGTGGAACTAGACAAAGGGATGCGGGAGTATGTCGTACTTGCGGTGACGGATAGGAATACGGACGTGGTAGGAGGAATAGGCAGGACGAAAAGGCCGGTTGTGCCTCGATTTCGGATGTCTTGGCTGCTGTCTTGGTCTTCCTGCCAGCTAAATGTCGCATCATACGTGCTATACGGACAGTAAGAAAAAGAAAAAGAAAGACTGTTTTGCTTTGTATATGGCCGTGGTTGCTGCGATGACGTTCTCTCAGTAAAACCCCGGATTCGATTCGGCTCTAATACAACGTGATATGTTTCTAGTCAAATACAATAAAAAGGCAGAGTGTACAGCTAGTAACAGCGCAAGACGCAAGGAAGACAGCCCCGGGACGTCTCCAAACAAATAAATTCCAGTGGTTCCTTTCCAGAATACATCGCCTCCCAAAACGCCATTGCTATGCCCAGTTATCCAGGCCGCCGGACGAGCAGCCTCGATGCTGTGTGTGTGTGTGTGTGTGTTTGTTTGTTTGTTGTTTGTTGTTTGTTGTTTGTTGTTTGTTGTTTGTTGTTTGTTGTTTGTTGTTTGCTTGTTTGTTTGTTTGTATGCTTGTTGCTTTGATTTCGTGTTATGCAAAGACGTCGAGGTTGCCGTCAAGGCATCTTCGTTTGGTGCTGATTCCGCACCTCAGAATATCAACCGGTAGGCGTAGTAGAGGAAGATGAAAACGCCAATGATGATGCCCGACAGCTTCAGAATGGCCACGCGGTTGCCCGACGCCGCCATGCGGGTCAGCCGCCCCGCCGACCCCTTGAGCTGCGTCGACATGCTCGAGAAGGTGTCGTTCGTCGAGTCGATGACGTCCTGCTCGCGCGCATTGTCGTAGATGTCAATCGTCACGCCGCGCAGCGCCGTCACCTTGGACGCCAGCTCGTCCAGCCGCGAGTTGTTCTGGCGCTCGCGCTCGTACGCCTCGGACATGGTGGGCGAATGGGGAAGAGAGGAGAGGAATATGCGATCTGAAAAGGCGAAAAGGGGTTCGTGATCGTTTGTCGCCGATGCGATGAGAGATGCGATGGAGGCGATGGCAAGGTCTTGTCGTGTCGTTGATTGTTTGTATGTTTGTATGAGACAGTTCAGCGAACAAGTGAACAGATTTGGCGATGCGCAAGATAGAGACAGCGATGAACTGCGTGCTCGAGTCGAGGTATTCGTCGTGTTGGGTCGATTGGGTTGCTCGGATAGGAGATCAAACACGAATGTTTTTGGTCTTTGCGCACTGACGATGGCGCTGGGGCGACTTGGCCAGGCCTTGTTAGGTCCCAGTCAGATGGCAGTCAAGAGCGGCACAAGGCTAGGCCCGCCCAGGCCAGGGCGCCACAACGTCCCAAAATGGCCTGTGTCACAGGACTTCTCAGTGCTGTCTGTGGCTGACGTTTACGGGTGCAGAGTGCTATCCGCTCCTGCGTTGGCAACGTTAAGCACTGCGGGGTGGCCGCTGCAAAGAGATTAGCGCCTTCCAACTGGACGGGGACACAGCCCCTCCGTCGCTTCCGTGTGAACAGGACGAGCGGGAGGCAAGAGGCGCGTCCACCGAAGGACACTGTGAGACTGTCCTGCTTTGCGCTGGACTGGCCATTGCGTTCGCCGGTCGCTGCTTCCATAGAAACGTGGAATCCCGAACACATTCGCATTCGGAGACAGCAGGAGCATCCGACCGTGCCGCTTGCTCTTTCTGCCCAACTTGTCTTCCTCGCTTTCCCTCCCTATGTCTTAATCCCCAGACTTCTCCTGAATTTGTTTTGACATCACTCGTCATCACCACAAACATCGCCATCCTCGCCTCTGCCAACGCCTGTCGTCACCGTCTGCGCCATCCTGCGACCGAATCGTGGTGCCTACATACTGCTGCGTCATACACAGCATCTGCATACTGCCACTTCTGTCCAGCTGCCAGTCCTACGCGCGGCAGGCATCATAGCCACAGGTTCCCTCTTCTTAGGCCTCGTTTCATCGACTCTTTTGTGTCCTCGGTCCCCTTCCATTTCAATTGTCGTCTGAGTTCCCCCAGGCTTCGTTCATTATCCTCGCCCGCCAACGTGCCTTTCCGTTAGCTTTAACACCCATAGCGTTCGATATTGCATCCCTAGCCTCCGCTGTCGTTCCCCACCACGCATCAAAGATCTCTCCGTTGCCCACCCTCTTCTCTTTTGAGTCTGTCTCACTCCGCGTGGCGGCCTCCTTTGTCAATCTGCCTGCACTCCGATTGCCCACAGACGTTCCTGGTTCCGCCTGACCGTTGTCGAACCGACTCCAAGTCGCCTCTTCCACCAGCCACACATCGTACGTCTGCTTCCCACTCGTATCGAAAAAGCAGCTCCCCGACTGTCGTTTTCTTTCGCCCTCCTCTTCTTTCGTTTGCTTTCTTCATATATTTCACGACTTCAGTGCGGTCTCAGTCGCTTCTCTTCCATCGCTGACACGCATTCCATTTAGGCATCCACACCTGCCTCAATCCCACCAATCCGTTCCACTGCCAACCACCCCAATAGCTTGGCTCGTCAACGGTCCTAGCCTGCAATAGGCCGTGCCACGCGCAAATATTCCCCATATTCCACAGACCTTCCTTGTCGTTCTTTCGAACCTTGCTTGTCCTTCCTCCTCCTCGTCTTGAACCCCTTCTTTCCCTCCACAAACGTCACCGCGAACGACGCAAATTCCATCCAGTAGCAAATCGCAAACCACAAAAGCAACCGCAGCCATGGGTATCAACAACCCCCTCCCGTCGTCGATGGCCTGTAAGTTAAGCTCCCGTGCTCAGCAGACATTACCCCTCTCTCTCTCTCTCTCCCCCAACCCGTCGCAATTTCATGACCGTCTCTGACATCACAACCTGCAGCGGAGTGCAAGAAGTGCGGAAAGATTCTGGCTTCGTTTATTGATCCTCGCCAGGCCTTTGGCCCCGAAAAAGTCATCCCTCCCTCGGTTCTGGCCGGCGCAAAGGTACGTTTGGACCCCATCCGGGCATTCTCTCGCCTTCACATGCACATTTTCTGTTGTCTAACGGGTCGCCTCGTGTCCTCAGGGTCTTGCGATCATCACCGTCTTCAAGGCCGGCTTCCTCGGCTCCGCGCGGTTTGGCAGCGGTCTCGTTATTTCGCGACTACCCGACGGCAGCTGGAGCGCTCCCAGTGCCATTGCGACAGGCGGTGCAGGCTTCGGTGGCCAGATTGGCTTCGAGTTAACAGACTTTGTTTTCATTCTCAACGACGCAAAAGCCGTCAAGACCTTCTCGCAGGCTGGCTCGCTCACCCTTGGTGGCAACGTATCGCTTGCCGCCGGCCCCGTTGGTCGCAATGCCGAGGCTGCTGGCGCCGCCAGTTTGAAGAGTGTCGCCGCGGTCTTCAGTTACTCCAAGACCAAGGGTCTGTTCGCCGGTGTGTCGCTCGAGGGTTCTGCCATCATTGAGCGCAAGGAGGCCAACGCCCGTCTCTACGGCCGCCCGGTCAGCGCCAGCGAGCTCCTGTCTGGCTCTGAGCCTGTTCCTCACCAAGCCGCTCCCCTGCTCAACATTCTAAACTCACGTGCCTTCAACAATGGCGGCCGCAGTGGCGACGACATCTACAATGATATCCCCGTCTACGATGACCAGTACGACAACGGCGGCGGATACGGCAACAACAACCGCCGGGGCTACGGTGATGGCCCTGTTCGCGACAGCGGCTACGGCAGCCCATCTTGGGACCGTGGTGGCGACCGCGATCGGGACCGGTACGACCGCGACCGTGATGATGGCTACGGCCGTAACGGCGGTGGTGGCGGCGGCTACGGTGCACCCCGGCGCTCGGCAACGACCAACTCGTGGCGCGACGACGTATATGACGACCCGGGCTCGCGCGGCTTCAACAACAACTCGCGCTCCAACACGTACAACGACAGCAAGCCAGATTCGCGATCGGGCCCCGGCCGGCCTGCAGCGCCCAAGCCCAACTTTGCCAGCAAGCAGAACCTACTTAAGAAGAACGAGGCTGTGGCCCTGTTCACGTTCGAGGCAGACCAGCCGGGCGACCTGGCATTCAAGAAGGGCGATGTTATCACGGTGCTGAAGAAGACGGAGAGCGACAACGACTGGTGGTATGTATTAGCAGCTTTTTTTTTTTTTTTTTTTTCGTTCGAAGCCGCTACCAAACGGTGCAACAGGGGCTAACTCTGAACAGGACAGGAATGATTGGCACAAGACACGGCATCTTCCCCAGCAACTATGTTAAAATGAAGGAGTAAATCCGAGCTCAGATTCTGACACCGAAGACTATATCGCTCAGCAGCGCGGCGATTTACAAACGACACGAGAAAAGCGCAGACAAAAGTGCTTGATGTGCTGCTTACGACTGCGAGTTGTTGACATTCTGATGGGAAACGGCTTTGAGACCCAATTGTTGGGTCTTTGATTTTGCCCTTTGACGTCTTTCATGTTTTACTTTTGGTTTTTGGTTTTCCCATTCCGCCTATTGTATTTCTTTTACGGTTGTTGAGATTTTTTTTTATTTTGAATCTGCTGTTCTTACTCTTAAGAGTTTAACCTGGACTGCTTTTGTCTCGTTTAGTTAAACTTTCATCGGTACTCATTTTTATGATCTCATTTTACCTTTCCATGTTGCCTTTTTTGCCTCTTCGAGCCTCTTGGATGTCATGACGTGTCGTTTGTGACGGCTTTTTTTTGATATTACCTTTATTCTTCCCCAAAGATCCTTTACAGCTTTATCAATCTCAGCCTCCAAGACACTTCTCTGCATATAAGCGTTCTACGATCTGCTCACATTAAGAATCCCTCATCCTACGGACGGTTTCCGCCAACGTAGTTGGCGCTTGGATCGTTGTCCGCTTTGACCAACGTCTGCTCAACAACGGCACCCGGTGGCGCATACCCGCCCAAGTTTGTCACAGCCGCCGCCACATTGCGCCAAAACTGGCAGGGCGTCTTCTCATTCTGCGTGTCGTTGATTGTGCTGAACCGAAAGTCGCCCATATTGAGCACGCCCATGATCTGCTCGCCACTCGAATTGCTCACCGGGTGGTCCCATTGGATCGTGCTTGGGAAGTTATCGACGACGCGATGCGCGTTGGGATTGCCCGCCGTTACGAACGACGCGAAGTAGCTCTGCAACGCTGTGCTGAGACCAAACAACAAAATGCCTGCGGCCGGCATCAGCAGATCCAGGATGTCCTTGAGTACATCGCTGGACAGATTGACACCCGCGCGCGCGTTGAAAAACATGGGCAGGAGGTCTGTGCCGTGCCAGCCGGGCGTGACCGAGTACTGCATATTCCAGACCTTGTTGTCGCCGACGCCCTCGTTGAGGTGGCGCACGTTGCAGGTGAAGCAGCTGTCGCGCAAAAACGCTTCATAGCGGGCGGACTCGCTGCTATAGACGGGCGTACCGGTGGTGTTGTCCACGGGTGGATAAAACTCGAGAATCTTCTCCACGACGTTTGAGTGCGTGTAGTTGGGAAAGGTACCGCGGAGAAAGTCGGCAAAGAGCGCGTCCGTGGAGTCACGTCCGGTCACAAACAGCGTCGCTTCTTCGGCACAGTGCGACAGCAAGAACGCCTCGACACCCTTGGCATAGTTGCCCGACGTCAACTCCAGCACGGGCAGCTGCCGGATGAAAGAGCCGTCCGTGGTTGGTCCCACAGCAAAGGACCCGGCTGGTACGGTGTCCATGAGAGCCTTGTTGGCCTTTTGGAGTGCGTCCGGATGCGCGCTTCGCAGACACTGGATGGTCTCCGTTTCACCGCTCGTACTGCTGGCGTTCCCTCGCTGAGCACATCCTGCCAGCTTCGCAAACGCTTGAAATGTCGCCTCGACCGTCCCTGCGCGGTCGTACATCCACTGGTACGCCGGCGACTGGAGGATGGCGCGCTTGAACAGCGGATCCAGAGTGCCGCCCCCGGCCACGAGATGGTGCATCAGCGAGCCGGCACCGGCCGACTCGCCCATGGCTATGACCTGCGTGGGATCACCGCCGAGCAAGGAAATGTGGTCGTGCACCCACTGAAACGCCGCCCGCTGGTCCCACAGACCTGCATTGGGGAGGGCCTCTCGCTCCATGGTGGTACCGGCGAGAAAACCGTACGCCCCGAGGCGGTAGTTCATGGCGACAAAAATGATCTCGCCGCCGGACTGGTTGATGAGGCCGGATCCGTCATAGAACGGAAAGCCAGGAAGGGCACTGTCCTTGCTTCCGAAAACATAGGCACCACCATACAGCCAAACGACGACGGGGAGCTTGGACGTGGATGGCGACCTCAGGGCCTTCCCCGGCACAGACACATCAAGAAAGAGGCAGTCTTCGTTGCCAGAGTTAAACAAGGGGACCGGAATGCCAGAAACGCTTAAAACCAAGGACTGATGTAAGTCGATATGGGCAGACACATGGACGCACAGAGTGGAAAAAAACGACTCGGCTACAGGTGCCGCCTCACTTACAACTGGTCGATTGCGGTCCCCAGGGGAAACTTGTTCCCAGGGCCGAGTACATTCAAGTTCTTGACAGCAGTTTGAACGCATGCGTGGCCTAAGCTTCCATCCTGAAGTGTGCTGTTCTTCAGCGGTGGCGCCGGCTTTGCCCAGCGCAGATCACCGACCGGCGGCGCGGCATATCGGATATTGGAAAAGATGTATCTGAGGAATGGCAGTGTGAGAACCAGAGACAAGAGTCATTCAGTGATGTGGCTCCTCCGTCACCAGGAAGGAGGATATCTCTCACAAGTCTTCGTCAGCGTTGTAACTGGATGCCCTGTACGATGCGTACGGAAGCTTCAGAATGGGCAACGGTGGCGAGTTGGCCTCACTAGCCCGAGGCCTCGACATGCCAAGGCCGACGAGCGAGAAGAACACGACAAAATGGGTGAGATGGGTCTGCATTTCGGCGATGTCAGGAAATATGAGAGGCAGGATCTCCAGAAATGGCTATTGAATTTGATGCTGTAAGAAGACCGAGAGCATCGCCAGATGGGGTCGATCCCGACCGTCTGGCTATATATCACTCTTCTGCGATCGAAGTTGGCACACAAGATACAACATTTCAGCCGCTCGTGGCCATCCAGAAGCTCGCAGAGACACGCAAGGAGACCAGGTTCTGTTTGCCCCCGCCCATAGGACGGCTCTACAAAAATGACATTTGTACACGAGCGCGGTACAGAGAAACAATCTCTGTCCACATATCTGGCGACAAGTTTCCGACTAAATTAAGAAGACTGTGAACACGAGACGCGACCCGTGGAGAAAAGAAACGATGAAGAAATGAGTCGAGCCAAGAAACGCTCCAGTGCCTCGCACGAGGACATGTGCATCCTTCCTCGGTGGATGTCAGCTGGGCCGAAGCAAGACACACAAACACAAAACACGGGCCTAAGACACCATGGCCACAACGCCACACGGTCCAAGGCAGTGGGAGAGAAAAGAGGAAGGGGAGCAAACAACCACAACGCAAAGAGTAGGGGAAGCACGGGCAAAGAGATACGTTGTCGTCTATTCGGTGTATTCGGCCCTAATCTGTGTGCGATGGCGCTGAGCACGAGGCCGGATGTCGACAAATCAGGAGCCTTACACACCTATTGCCGTCATATTGCAGTGCTTTACCGCCGCACGGCAAGAAACCTGCTGTCTACCCAATCACGACGCGATATGCGACCTTTCGGTGCGTCGATATTACGATTCTACGATTCTACGATTCTTCTAAAACTGGAGAGCCGGTCGGTCGGGCGCTTGTTGTGTACTCCAATTTGGAATACGCATCAAAAGCGAAGACGCAAAAGGGCAAATGGACGACGGAGACGACCTTTGGACTTGGTGATGTGCACAAGTGGCAACGCCGAGTGTCCGTAAAAGGCGTCCACAAGATACAACCACATCGGTCAAGCCTGGCAGTCCGCCCGTGGCAAGATCTACAACAAAATATGATGCCTTTGATATCCGTCGATGCTGTTCTTCGGCTGCATCCGTCCTCTCGTCAACTCGAAACAAGCGACGTCAGCCTCGTTGTACTCGCGGCCACCAGCGAAAGGTAGAAACGAAAAGAAAAGAATGGAAAACAAGTCATAATGATATCAACATCCGGGACGTTTGTTATGCGAACAGAGCAATTTCATCTCGGGCAATTTCTGTTGGTCTTGACGTCACACGAGAGACAGCAAGGCCATGGGTGTGCCGTCTTACACGATCTTTGTTAAGATGATAGATGGTGCATTGCTGGAAGATCTCTTGTCGTTCTCGGCCCGCCTCGTTCTCGCATGTCGTCTACTGCTTCCTCATCCATTGGCAGTGCACGAAAGACGGAAGGACTGCACGAATACCCGTCGCGGGCTCGACATTTCCTGGTGCCAGCGTTGCAGGCGGCAGGGGGAAGACGCCAAAAGCGGCTGCCCACCCTCCGTCGATCTGTGTGAAACACAACGCATCAACCGCATCCATGGCCACTCTGGGAAAGGACATGTCCAAGCTGGGAAAAGTGGACAAGGCTTGATTCGTATAATGCCTTTGAAGAGCTGCTATTGTAGGTTTTCTTTTTTTTTTCGCCGACATTATTTTGAATTTTTTTTGTCTTTTTCTTTTCTTTTTCTTTCTTTTTCTTTCTTTTTTTTACCCTGCGTCATTCACTGCCCTTTTTGCCAACCCCAGCAAACCTTCGAGCCGAGTTTCCGTCACTGCAACCTCCGTTCTCCGCGTGACGTCGTTTTTGTCGGGCTTACTCGCTCGCCAGGATCGTTTCGCATCGCTACATATTAAATTTAATCTATTTTCCCCAGCTAGTCGAGCGGCCACTGCCCTTCTCCGTCGATCTCATCAACATGCCAAGCACCTCGTCTCCGCGTCTACACCTAACCACCCCCCACCCCCGGCTCTCTCTCCACAGACTTGGCCTTCCGTCTTTGCCGTGGCTCGCTCCGTTTCTTTGGTGTGCGTATATTGCTTCGATATTGCGATGCCCTCCGAGGCGGAGTCCACCCAGGGTATGGATCCTCAAAAGACGAAAGTGTTGTGCAGCAAGGGCAAAAGCCAAGCCGTCCCTAACCCGGATGAGCATGTTTTCGACGATTGCATTTGAGGCGTTTTTAATATGATGTCGCGGCTTCGGCACGGCGCACGCAACCACTTCATATGCCATGAATCCCGAGAAGGCAGAGCGAAAAGGGTGGTGTTCTTGAACGTGATGGTGGAGCGTTCACGCCAGGACGAAAAGTATAAAGGCCGACTTGATGACCTCGATTCCTTGGCAATGCGAACCAACAGGCAGAAGCAGCATTCGCCAGACTCGAGTCTTCAACCTTGACCCGAATTCTCCAAATAATTCTTTGCTCTTTGTCAACAACTCCCACCCACAAAGCAACAAAATGCGCTTCTTTGCTCCCGTTCTACTCGCCGCTACGGTCGCCGATGCCCACTGTATGCTCTCTCCCCTCCCCACCGGACATGGCTGTCCTTCTTTCCCCTTGCTGACCATTGCTGCGTAGATACCTTCTCGGCCCTGATCGAGGGCGGCCAGTCCTCGGGCGACTGGGTGGCCGTCCGCAAGACAGTCAACTGGCAGAACAACGGCCCTGTCACAGACGTGACGTCCAACGACATCCGCTGCTACGAGCTCAGCCCGGGAACGGGGGCGGCTGAGACGATCAACGTCACGGCGGGCGGCACCATTGCCTTCCAGGCCAACCCCGACATCTACCACCCGGGCCCGCTGGCGTTCTACATGGCCAAGGCGCCCAGTGGACAGACGGCGGCGTCGTTTGACGGTGCGGGTGCGGTGTGGTTCAAGATTTACGAGGAGCAGCCCAGCTTTGGCGGGCAGACGCTGACGTGGTCGAGCAACGGGCTCAAGACGCCGTCGGTGACGATTCCCAAGTGTCTGCCGGACGGCGACTACCTGCTGCGCATCGAGCACATTGGCCTGCACGTGGCGCAGAGCGCGGGTGGCGCGCAGTTTTACATCTCGTGCGGGCAGATTTCGGTGTCGGGCGGCGGCAGCGGATCGCCAAAGGACCTGGTGGCGTTCCCGGGCGCGTACAAGGCGACGGACCCTGGCATCCTGATCAACATCAACTACCCGGTGCCGACATCGTACACGAACCCCGGCCCGGCGGTGTTCACTTGTTAAAGCGGTATGTGAAGCAGCGCGGTATCATCTCAATCTCTTGTATCTTGTATTCCTTTCCCTTTTGCCATCCATATGATGGATCTTTGTGCCAGCGCCTTCTGGGTCGCCGTTTTTGGCTGCATAGCTTGTCTCTTTGGAATACACTTCTAGACCATTCTCTCCCTTACATGCAGAATGAGTTTGTCCGCTGTGTGCAGATTTCTGTAAAGCGAGTATGGAACTCAATGGCGTATCGTGCAACGAGACGCGCTTCGGCCTCGTCGTGGTCGTCGGCGCCCAGTGCTTTCGTCATGCTCAGGCACTCCTTGAGCATGCCGTCCTTGAGATTGGCCAGCTCTTGGAAGAGGTCCATGCCTGCCAGGAGAGCGACTTCCGGCTCGACAAAGGGCGCTGCCGTCTGCACTTCCGTGTCGGTCGTGGCGCCTCTGCGACCATGCGCGCTGGCTGACCGCGTGTCCTGGCTCGGTGTCCGCGACAGGTGTCTCGTGACAGACTGTGGCAGTTCTCGTCGCGGCGGCGGCTCGTCCACGTCGTTCGAGGCCATCAATTGTGGCGTCCGACTGAGAGATCGGCTTGCAGGGACGTTGACGGGCGGCGGCTGTCGAGCGTCCTGCATAGGTACATCCGCAGCCGACGACTCGCGACGTAGGAGACTCGGCGAACATGTGGTCTGTGACGCAACAGACGTCTGGCGACGCTTCATTCTGCTAGCATTGGCGAGGTCCGGCGGTGCGTCGGAGTAGGTCCGCTTGAGGGAGTTCTCCAGAGGACCAGTGGAGCGTCTTTCGGCTGGCATGGCTGCCAACGCCGTCGACGCAGACCGCACAGCCGGTTGAAGGGACGTCGATGTGCGGGCGACGAGGCTGCTAGAGCGTGCAAGACCCGACGCAGTTCTCTTTGGAGAACTCCGCTCCTGTGAGCCTTGTGAGCTGGCCTGCATTGACACGACAGAGGACGTTCTGCTCAGCGTCGCGCGGCCGTCACGAGTTGGCAAGGAGGTGCATCGAAGGCCGATGCGCATAAACTCGTGGGACGCGGCCTTGAGATCGCCGACACTGAGGAAGCACAGCTTGAGGAGAGATCTCTTCTTCTGCGACGTATCTTGTGTTAGATGGGAAGAGTGCTTGTCGACTGTGTCTATATGTCTGTTCTCACCCTTTGTGATACACTTTGAGAGGCATCTTGCGAGCCAATCTGTGTCTGTGGCTGAGACATACCACGGCCATTGCCACGTCCCATTCCAGAGCGGCCTCCATTCCCGCCTTCGCTCACGGTCGGATCGTCCCCCTCAGAAACGAGCAGCGTGGCCCGTGTTGGCGGCACGATGCGGACTTCGCTGTTGCCGGGGTTGAGTTTTGAGGTGTCGATTTCTGTCTTTGCTTGTCAGCTGTGCCTCCCTGACGAGACGGCGAGTGTGACCTACTATCACAGTCGAACCGTCGACAATGCAGATGCGGTACGACGGCTTTGCCTCCGCTTCAGGCCCTGCGCGCTGTCGATTGGAAGATGGTGCAGACGGAAAGGAAGAAAAGGAAGACAACGACGAAGACATTTGACTGTTGGAAATGCTCTCCACGTGCAGTGTCACTGGCGCGGCGGCTGTCCGTATGGCCGTCCTTTGCTCAGTGATGGCCTCTTGGAGGACCCACTGGGCGATGAACTGCCGTGCCATGATGCTGATGGTCGGCGAGGAGGCTTGCAAGTTGAGTACGAAGACGATAGAATCAGAAATTGGTTCGGACAAGAAAAGGGGCAGATTCTGGTGTAGCTGTTGTTCCTTCTTGATATGGAACGGGGGATGCTCGACAGTGCTTCGTGGAAGGTGCGATCAAATCGCAGCATTGCATTCGTAAACGGAAAGAGCTCGTAAACATAAACAAGAGGATATCATGATACAAACTGTATCTCATAACAAATACAGGACTGCTCGATGAGACATGTATCATGTCCATGCAAGTCAATGCGATGGTCAGCCCTAAATGAGCTGTTCATACAGTTTATGATTTGTCTGCATTGTATACGACACTCTCTGTACTCTGAGCATTCAGCATAGACATAGCACTGAATATGCATGTATGCTATTGTATGTTATTATATGACGTGCACCAACAGTCAACATGTCAACTTCAGGCTCATCTTCTCATGGAAATGTATTCGTAGTCGTGGACGTTGTTAGTCGTCTTGGATGTCGTCGTGTTATTCAGTCCCTGCTCCACGTTAAAGCCACAATTGGTGTGGCGCTAATAGCGACATGTGATTGGCCAACGCCGGGCCCCGCACGGACCACGCTTTGCCTCGAAAAAATAGCAGCCCTTTCTCACATTCGCGAATTCTAGCGTCGCCTTGTGGCTGCTGCAGCTGCGCGTCTCCAGCATCCCTTTAACACGCATCCATCTCCAAGCGCAAACGACAGGGCCCATCGCTTCGCGCAACGACGACAAGCACCGGCATCGCGCATGCAGCACGGCCACCACGCACGGCTGCTCTGTTTTCGATAACAATACGAGTCGACGCGACGATCGCGTCGTCGCCGCCAGAACGCGAAATCGTCGTTTTGAGATCCTCCAGATTTGTCGAGACCGACGAGGCGTTGCTTGGAGCCTCGGTTGCAGAAACGTCCACACGGGGCGTTTGCGGCGTCCGACGGAGAGAGCACGACGGACGGGGCCGGCTACGCGCAGAGACGCGGCCACGCTACATGATACCAAAGGCCAGATATCACAGCAAGACAACAAACATCACGACATCACGACATTGACACAACGACAACTTGATCCGATCGAATCGAATCCGAGCTCCATTTCGTCGACCTTCCTCCTCCTCCTCCGTCTCCTCCTCACTCCTACTTCACATCCCCCCTTCCCCCTCCGGTGGCCACGATGGCGCCGCAGCCGGGGCACACAATCGACCAGACGCCCGAGTACGTCGAGTTCATTGGCAAGCTGCGCGAGTACCATGCCAAGCGCGGGACCAACTTTGAGCCGGAGCCCAAGGTGGGGCAGACGCCGGTGGACCTGCTCAAGCTGTTCAAGGTGATTGTCGAGCACGGCGGCTACGACAAGATCAGCGAGGAGAAGCTGGCGTGGCGCAACATGGTCAACGCGCTCGAGCTGTACAGCAACAACGAGGCGTCCGCCGCCTACAGCCTCAAGCTCGCCTACTACAAGAACCTGGCCGCCTACGAGATCACCACCATCCACAAGCAGGAGCCGCCGCCGCCCGAGATCCTCGAGCACATCTCGGCCAAGGGCGGCGGCCTGCTGACGCGCACGCTCGAGAACTTTGGCGGGCACCGCGCGACCATGCGGCCGTCGGCCGGCTTCGACTCGCCGATGGGCGGCACCGGCAGCAGCATGGGCGACCCCATGGGCACGCCGACACGCCAAGACCATGCGGCGGCCGGGGCCGGGCCCGACGGCACGCCGCTGAGTGGCCGCGCGTCACGCGGTCTACGGGAAGCGCCGGCACAGCGTGTCATTTTCCAGCCGGACACGGCCTCGACGCGCCAGTCACGGCACGCCTCGGGGCAGCAGGCCGGCAGCGGTGCACATGCGGCAGGGCACCACGGCCCGCCGGGGCACCATCACCTGCCAGGAACACCACAGGGAGCGGCGGCGGCGTCGTTTGGTGGCGGCATGCACCCAAGCCAGAACCACCACGGCCTGCCGCCACATCAACAGCAGCAGCAGCAGCAATTGCTTCACCGCAACGCGTCCATGGTGTACAACCCGCCCAACTCGGACATCTTCTCGTCGGCCGTGCAGGCTTATGAGCCCCGCGGGCCGGTGCCGATTGTGCTGCAGCTCGCCGAGGCGCCGGCCAACGCGCCGGCCAAGTTTTTGCAGCAGAACCGGCTGCAGCGGCTGCAGGCGTCGGGCGTGTCGCTCAGCCGCTTTGCGGCGCGCCCGCCGGTGCCGCCCGGCAGCGAAGGACCTAACATTTACGTGCGGTGCCTGGGCGCGCTGCGGTCGGGCCTGCAGGCGGAGGAGGCGTTTGCGCTGAGCCACCTGGTCAAGATCTCGTACGAGCGGGGCGACAAGTACAAGTTCGAGTCGTTTCCCGGCCTCGCCGAGGGCCTCGTGGAGAAGGCGCTGCAGGTGGGCAGCCTGTTCTACCACGACGTCGCGTGGACGGTGTCGTACGACGCGGACGGCGGCGGCGGCGGCGGCGACGACGCGGACGACGTGGGCGAGCTGGACGGCGTCCACGGCACGCCGGACATTCTGGAGCGCATTGCGCAGCTGCGGCCGCGCGCGCGCATCGACTGCATCCAGACGGAGGCGTTTGCCGACCAGATGGTGCTGATCACCGAGGCGGCGCTGACGGTGCGCAACATGGTGACGCTGCCGGAGAACGCGTACTTTGTGGCCGACTTTGCGCCGTGCCGCGACTTTCTGTGCATCGCGCTGAACCTGCCCGACCGCGACGCCGTGGTCGAGCTCAAGCACTGCGCGCTCGACATTGCCGAGCAGCTGACGCCGTTCCTGGTGCTCGGCGACGACGACCCGCTGTACCGGACGCTGCTGCGGCAGCTGGCGTCGCCGGACCGCGGCATGGTGCTGACGGCGCTGCGCGCGATTGGGCGCATCTCGATGAACCTGGCCGAGACGAACCGCCTCGGCGGCGTGCCGCCGAGCGTGCTGCAGCGCGTGACGCAGTGGCTGCTGCTCAACGACGACGAGCTCATGGACGCCTGCCTCGACTTTTTGTACCAGTACACGGCCGTCGCGGCCAACGTCGAGCGCCTGCTGCGCGCCGTGCGCGCCGAGGGCCTGGTCAGCCACCTCGTGCGGCTGCTGTCGCACGGCGCCAAGCGCAGCGTCAAGGAGCTGGTGCTGCAGCCCGAGCGCAGGCTGCCGGCCGCCGACGAGGTGCTGGCGCTGCCGCCGGACCTGCTGACGCGCCTCGTGGCCACGGACGAGCCCGAGCGCTGCTACACGTGGCTGCGCTGCTTCTTCGAGGAGGACCCGGACTCGTCCATTACGCAGATTGCCATCTGGCAGGCGTACCAGTCGTCGTTTCTGCAGCCCGTGCAGCAGTCCGGGCGCACGATGCTGGGCGCCGCCGAGTTCATCCGCAACGTGACGCACGTCTATCACGCGGCCGGCGCGCAGATCCAAAAGGAGCAGACGCCGCAGGGCGAGGTGCAAAAGTTTATTATCAAGGGCATTCGCCCGCGCCGGCGGCCCATCAGCCCCGAAGGCCAAGAGTTTTTCCGCTGCCAGTGGCGCACACCGGCCGCGTCAAAGGCTGCCACCGCGACCGCCGCCGCGCCCCTCGCCTCGCCGTCGTGCGGCATCTTCTTTGGCGCCGCCGACAAGCTGTACGCGCACATCCTCCACGACCACGTGGGCGAGACACCGGGCGCCGACGGCAAGGTGGCCAATGTGAAGGACTGCGATGTGCGCTGCCTGTGGGCGGGCTGCCGCAAGTACCCCAAGGGCACCAAGATGCCGCTGGCGGACTTTATGAAGCACATCAAGACACACGCCGTCCAATCGGAGCAGGACATCCGGCAAAATCAGAAGCAGGTGCAGCAGCCGCAACAACAGGACGCGCCGGCCTCTGCCGAATCCGGCTCGCCCGCCGACGGCAGCAATGGTGCCGCACAGCCGTCCAACCCCCTCAAGCACCAGCGCCAGCGTAGTAGTGTGAGCAACGGCGATTTGCTGGCGACGGGCGGCGCGCCGGGCAGTGGCGGTGCCGGCGGCAGCAGCAGCAGCAGCGGTACAAACGGTGCCGCCTCGACCGGTGCCAACGGCACGCCCAATGGCACGTCACCCAACGGCGGCACCGTGGCCGGCGGCGGTGGTGGCACCGGCGCAGCGGCCACGGTGCCCAACAAGCGCCAGAAGCGGTCGTACGTCGTGCCGGCCAAGACCATCAGCGTCGCCTACGAAGAGACGGCCACCATGCGCGACGAGCGCAACCCCAACCTCCCGGCCCAGGCCGCGGGCATCCCGCTCAGTGCCGTGCTCGTCCTGCGCAACATTGCCCGCAACGCGTCCAAGGCCGAGGTCGTCCTCGACGAGCGCGGCCAAGTTGTTTTGCTGGACGACGATGACGAATGGGAGCAGCAGCAGCAGCAGCAGCAACACCACCACCAACAAGAACAACAGCACAAGAACAATGGCACGGCCGGCAAGCGCAGCAAGCCCTCGCTGCCGGGCACGCCGTCCTCGTCCTCGGGTCTGCTGCCGCCGACGTCGTCCAAGTTCACCGGCGGTGCGGCGGGCGGCGCTCGCCACGCGCACTCGCCTGCCGACGCGGCCGCTGCAGCAGCTGCGCAAGAGGCGGGTGGCTGGAACGAGCGGCTGTTCCGGCCTGTGCTGCCACGGCTGTACGAAATCATGTCCGAGAACCGCGCGCTGGCCACGTACATTGCGTCGCTCTTCCAGCTGATTGGCGAGGATGTGTGATGGTCGTGGGTGAATGTGGGCCGAGATGGACCGAACGTGTTGTTCTCAGGAGCGTAATCCGATTGTGTGCTCCTTGTTTTCTGTTTGTTTTTTCGTCTTTTTCTCGTATTTTCTATTTGTTTTTTTCAGTCTCCGTCATTTTGTCATCGTCATTTGGAACGTATGTCTACGTATTGTTGCTGCAAAACGGTGGGAAAGCGTGGGATGGGAGTTCTACGAGACATAGGCAAAGGGGAACATTGTCCTTTTTACT